AAGATTTATAATGGTGGAAAAATTATGAAGCAAACGAAATAATTTCGTTTTTCTCATAATTTCAGACATTTTTCGCTCATTTTCTCTCACTTTCACATTTCATTATTTAGTTTAATTTGTTGAAATCATTGAATTTCATTCGTTTCATAAGATCAATTTCTATGTTATATCTGAAAGATAAGGTTATCCTATCATTACATTTGTATAATTTACTTCTAAAAGATCATTTTTTTCTATCTATTTATCTATCTATACGAACTGCTTTACTAAGCTTTGAAATGATGAAGTCATGAATTTTTACTTCTAATCGATACGGAGCTATGCGTGGTTTAAAAAATTTGCACGAATAGAAATGCGGAATAGTCGTTCAAAACATGAAGCTTTTTCATTCCAATGAAACCTTCGATCAATGAAAAATATTTTTACTTTTTTAGTCATACAGATGAAGTCATTTTCCATTGCTATTATTATTTCCTTTTGTGACGTAACTTGACGTACGTAACAGTGCATATCACTTCACAAGGATTACACATCACTTCACGAAAAACAACAGCTGTCGTTACATATTTTCAGCTTAATTTAAGCTTAGGTCATCATCCAAGTTTAACTCTTCTCATTCACCAACAATGAATCATTAAGACACTGAATTAGGATTGTAAATGAGTTTATGCAATTTTACTGAGCTGATAAATGTGCGTTATCATTAATGTTCCAACTTATTAACTTTACGAAATCGCAAGTGAATGAATTTAAATGTGAATTTTTGGTATTGGAATATATCAGAAGAAAAAGATAAGAAATTTGAAATTCAAACTAAAATTGTGGATTTGGAAAAAAGGTGTGGAAAACTTCACAAATAAAATGATTCACTTTTAAAAAGACCTTATAATTTGTCAGGTTTTATTCCCAGCTTAGTCATCTGGTTATTTACTTATAGCAGAAGTTGCGCTTCCGTTACAATCAGTGATATTATTGAATTATAAATGACAAATAGTTACTCATATAATATGAACAAAATAATTTTAAAAAAGTAAAACAATGAACTAAAATAATTTTACTTATATATCTGAATACATCAGAAACTGAATTATTAAGCTAAAAGTAAAAGAAAATGAAAAACACTAGTAACCTCTAATAGCTTATTCTCTGTTAGCAGAACGATCGATTAGAAATTTTAGCAGAATATAAGTGGGAAAGAAAATGAATACAGAATACGAAAGTTAGTATCGCACGAAATCATCCATATCATAATTTGAAATATTTTACTACTCTGATATTAAAATTAAAATAGGATTTTGAGTTTTGAGCTAATTTCTTTTTCATTGATAGCATTAGGTATTATAAAAGTTTTCTTGTAGTTTTATTGCAAATGAGTTAATATTTCTGTTAGTGCAATTTCAATCGATCGTCCAATGTTTTTGTGTTTTTGTCTGCTCTTCTTCAATTGTTATCATTTGAGAAAAAACATTTTCTCTTTATCAAAATCTATTTGCAAATAAAATTTTTTCACCTTCTTTTCATTAATTTTTACCTGTTGAATGCCTTTTTAATCTGTCATTTCAATGTATTTACTTACTAAAACTATCTTACATTCATTTCAAAATTATCAGATTTAATACTTCTGAAATTTCAAAATTAAAAGTTAGCATTGTTAATTTAGCATTCTTAATTCTGAATCATTTTTAAGAAAATTTATTTGTTAAAATGTTGTAAGGCAAATTAAATCAATTGGTTAGATGAATTGAAATAAATGAAGAAATTTCTTCTATGGTGAAAGCTAGTAATTAAGGAATTTCTTCTTCTAATATAATTTAACCATCATCACTTACCTTACTTACACTCCGCGGATTAAAATTCTTTAGGAACACCGACGGACATTATGCATCTATGTTTATTGAAATATTTCATCAATTTAATTGGACTATTTAGCCTTTGCGAAATGAAATGTTACCTTCTTGTCCTCTTCCTCTTCCTTTTCGTTCATTGTAGTCATTGTTAAGAATTGATTATCCTACCATTTGCTCGATACAAGTTCCGATGAAAATGAGGACAAATGATTGATGAAGGGAGCAGATTTGAACAAATGGATGATTAACTTCAACCTATTCAGATACCTCGCTTTTCAGTTCAGGTGCTTAATTCATCTGGCCCATTTCAAACATTCCAGATATTTGGTCTAGATCTCGGATTCATTCATTTACTGATCCGGAATGATTGAAGAGAGGGATCATTTTAGAGTGTTCATTTATTCGTTTCATCATCAATCAGCGATAGGACATTTTGTGAAAAGTCGATGAAAAGAGAGGGAGAGAGAGAAAAAGAGAGACAGAGATGTCCAGTTTTTTTTAAAAAAAATTTAAAATTATATTTCCTAAATTCATATGCCTACTTATAAGATTTGTTCACATATTAATATAATAGGAATACTTTATGCTTAATCATTCTTGCAAAAACTGTTTATTACTTTTTGTTTTTTTAATAAATTTAATTGTTTCGAATTTTTATTTTGGTAAGGATGTTGAATTAAAGGAAAACGATGTTTATCTAAGTAGTACATCACATTGCATTTGGAAAAATTGACGGCCGATTAAATTAACACCCTTTCTTGTTTGTTCCCGCAGTAGGATAATAAATTCCACCATTTTCAATAAAAGAGCTAAAAATAGGATGATGAATTTCAATGGCAGTAGTTTCGGTTAATTTTGTGATTAATTGTTTTTTTTTTTTTTTGAAGAATTAAGTTATTTTATAAAATAAATGTAAATATTAGGTATGCAAATCTTAAAAACAGAACGTTTTATGATATATATTGCACTGATCATATGTATTTGTATGTATCTGTCAAAAACTTTTAATTTTTTAAAGAAATGTTTAGCCAATTTTAATCTTCAATATAATAATACACATCTCTTCCTTTCATCATTTGTTTCTTCTATTTGAAAATCAGTCCAATGAGATTTTTTCTCTTTTTATTTTCTTGTCCTTTTCTGTTTACTTTCTTTAGTTTTCCTTTTAATAATCATTTTGAATAAATAATTTACTGAGCTGAATAATTAAAATTATTTAAGCACTTAACATTATTTTAAGTTTAATTTTAGAAATTTCAAATGACGAAAGCTTTATTTATCATCCAGCAAATGCCACAGGCTATATGTCGAGAAAGTCTTAATTCTGTTAAACATTTCCAATCAGTAATGTTCTTAAAATTTTAAATTTTCATTGAAAATTTTCAATATTTTATTCCCTCGATGATTAAATTAAATCTCCCTTTTTTCTGGCTTTTTTTTTCAGTAACTTGTTGACAATTTTTGAAAGATTATATTGCGAAAGGCTTTAACTATTTTACGATTTCTTTTTATTAAATCGTTGAACTGCTTTTAGATAAGTAACTAAATTCTACTGAATGGATGAATTGAATTTGATGCAATTTCATCATTTTAAACCATAACTTTTTAAATTGGTTTTATAATTTGAGGGTTAAAAATTCTTTGAAATATACTATTATGGATTTTATAAAGTATAGTTGTACTCTCTTCAAAACTGCTTTTTTTTTCAGATTCGAAATGTTAGTTACGACATGTACAAGTGTTCTTGTCATGAAATATTTATTTGCTTAGTCTGAAATTTTCGAATTTTCTAAAAATTCAAATTAAATATTTGTTTTGAGAAAATTAAGAATTGCTCAGTTTTCTCAATAGACCTATTCATAGATATTTTTGAATTATTTTTATAGTATTGGTCTACTTTTTTTCTAATATTGCGATATATTTATGAGCAAATATTATGTTGAAAATGTCAACCAAAACAAGTTAGATAATAGATAAAATCTGTTTTTTGGTGGAAATCCTGATTTTAGAAAGATTGCAATCAAAAATTTTAAATTGATCATTTGAAATTTTTCATGGGATACTTTTGAGAACAAAATGAGGTAAAATATACTTTTTGTTTTTTATTTTTTCTACTTTTCAAATTGTCCATTATTTATATTGTTGATTGCAATAATTGCGAAAGGATGATGGCAGGTGAATTAAAAAGTGAAAATATTTTGTATCATTGGAGAGAGAGAGGGAATCAAAGTGTTTTCATTGTCTCTTTCAGTGACCAATTTGCCATGCTAAAGCATATTGTTTTCAATATTTCTCATTTCTTGCACAATTACCTCATAACCATTTATGTAAGTGGTAATTACCGAATTATTTAAATTGAATGGTAACAAAAAGTTTATTGCGAATATTTAACATTTTTAAAATGACAAACTAGTCGCAAACATGTTTAGAATAGAGTAACTCTTTTGAGGAAAGTTATGGATAATTACGAGGAGGAGATATAAATAGCAATAAAGTCATATTAATAAATAGTTAGTAATTGATTTATAGCTATTATTTATTGAATTTCATTATAAATTACTCTAGCACATTCATTAAAGCATATGTAAATAGATGATTGAAAGCTTCGAACAATTCATTATTTATTATCAAATATAATATATTTTGTTAATGGGTTAGTGAGCGAAACGTCTTTTATAATATTTAATTCATACTAATTTAGTTAAAGATTATTATAAAAATATAGAAAAGAGAGTTTGCATATTCTGTGCCTGAATAAAAATATAAATATAGAAGGATTGTTCATACAAATAGTAAATTAAATAGTTAAATTCTTTTTATTTATTCCTATCAAAATTTCCTTTTTTCGATATCTTTCTTTACATTAAATAGTCATCTATATTCTTCTCTTGGACATTTCAACTTCTTTTTTTTTTTCAATTCCTCCATAAAAATAATTTTGTATGTATCATTTCACATAATCTAATCATTATTTTTTTAGCATTAATAATTTTCCTCTATGTAAAGATTGTTTAAAAATGCTAATTATATTCGCCGATCTTGTTGAGTTAATTTCAAATTTTGTTAAGTCTGTTAGCATAATTAGTCCTTCGAGAATACAACTCATCCATATGAAATGTTATAAAATCAGCTATTAATGGAACATAAATTTAGCTTTCGCGCAGTCGAGGCAATAATTTGTCATCATCGCATTCGGGAAGTGGTTGTCAAGATTATGAGCCAAGAATTCGGAAAAATTCACCAACAAGTCAATCAATACTGCTCAAGTATATTTCTCTAATTTTCATTTTTCTCTTTTTAATATATTCTGTTCTATAAACCAAAAATCTGTAAGGATGTGTCTAATATATATATATATATATATATATGTGTGTGTGAAATTTAAATTTTATACCAGAACGAAAGTGAAGTAGAAAATGTCATGCCTTACTCCTTCTTCATTTGATGCAAATCATCAAGCAATCCATGCTTTTCCAAAAATTGAACATCTGAAAGATTGCACTTCAAAAATTTAAAACATATGTTCATTGGCCTTTTAGTGCATTCGGTCTCTCTGTTAATTGTCAACTACTGGTTTCATTTGAATAGGAATGTAAACTGCAAGTTGGTTGGTTGATTCGGCCAATTCCTTCACAGCATTTCTTTACCTTTTTTATAGGATTTGCTTGCCTGCACTATTGCGCGTTATATTCTAATGCGCAACATTGCTGCATTTGCAGTTTTTGAAATTTTATGAAAGTAGCAGAAGGAATTCACTTTAGATATATTTCTTCAACAACAAATGCAATAGTAGCTAATGTTGGTAGATTCAGTTCTAATGAATGATCAAATTATCAGTAATATATACTTTAGTTCTACTCACCAATATCAAATTTTATGAAATTCTAATTATTAACGATTTTAAGTGAAACTGAGGAAAAAAAGTTAAATCTGTTTTACCTATCTTTAATCGTTGCAATATCTTTTGCTATAAATGCTAAAAGGAAGAAATCAGTGCGGGCAATTCGATAGCAATTTGATGAGTGAAATGTTTACTTCACAAAGATAATTCTCATTGGGAAACTCTCGTAAGCAGCAACAATTACCCTTGATCTTAACTTTATGTGACTCTATCTCTTCCTCAACAACTTATCATCCCTTTAATCTTCCATCGTTTATCCTTTTTTTTTCCCTTCTCGCTCAAGTGATATGATGATGTGATGTATTGTTAATTCAGATAAGCTGTTAGAATTAGAGTTTGATAAATTGCTTATACAATAGTACTTGTTAAGGCTAAAGTGACATGAGTTGTCAGAAGTTTAGCAAAAGCGAAACTTTAATTTCTTTTTGCACAGTGAACAGTTGACATTCTTTTTCCTCTCTCTCTCTTATTTCAAATTCCATCATCTTCGTATCGGTATTTAAACTGATGAATTTTGGCAACAATTTGTTGTAAAGACAACAATCTTCAGATTTTACAATCATCTGTCCCAAGGTCACTGGTATGGGACAAATTAAGGACATTTATATTGGATGTCATTGCATTAAAAGAATGCTAACTGTCTTAAGCATATATCTAAATGATAATGACCTACTGGATATTACACATTTCCTTCTTTTTACTGAATCATCTTCAATAATTTCAACGTTTTTGTTAGTATCCTTTCTTACTGTGCTTCGAAATAAGTGTATGAAGGAGAGAAAGAGAGAGAAAGGGAGGGAGAGAGAGAGAGAGAAAAGAGGAATTATTTGAAAAAGACCAATTTTGGAATATTTAGAGCATCAGAAGGACTTATTTTCCTATGACATCATAAAATTAATCCACCCTGTGTGAACCAAATTCTTGATTTGATTGTAAATGAAAAATTTAGAACTAAAATTTGTCAGCCTTCGGATGATTTCTTTGATTTATTTTGGTATAAATTGTAAATTTCCGGCAAAAATAGTTTTTGTAGACTTTAGAATTTTTAAACATATTTTAAAGGAAAAGTAGAATGATTTTTATTTAAACGAAATATTAAAGCCTTATTGATATATGCTTACAGCTTTACTTGGCATTTTTATATTCTGATTGAGTTGCGTTATGTTCTTTTCAACAAAAATTATATTGATAAAAAAAAAATTAGAAGCTCGTGTTTTTTCACAGAATTTGTGCTTTTGTTGTTTCCATTTTTTAAGCTTTAAAAATTATTGGTGTTCATTGGTGGTGGTTGTTAGTTTCAGTATAGCATTAGATGAACCATCATGTTCTGAGGATTTATCCTCGATCGTTTTGCACGACGATAGTAGTGTCAGTGGAACAAGACGTTTGCGCAATATAGCTGCTACCAGTAGGAGAAGTTTATTTTTTGGAAAGGTTAGATGTAATTTTGTCTTTTATAAAATTAACTTTTAAAGGGAATTTTTAAACTTAATATAGAAATTTGAGATATATGTTCAATGAGAAAGAAAAAAAAAAACATTCGGATTATTTGAGGACAAGGCAGAAATGCTTGCACGTTTAACATTGCTGAAAGATGAAGTGCAGAAACCGGTACCAATGTTTGAACTTGAATCTCACTGGACCAATATTGTTCGTGATAACGTAAGTTAACGTGAAATTTGAACTTGATTTGTTTTTATCACGATACAGGAATGATATATATCAGCTGGCTAATATCGAAATATATCATAATTGATTTTTTTCTTTTTTTCTTCTGGAATTTCATGACAAACTGAAAAGATTCCCAAAACTGAAAACGGAATGCTTCGTTGTTTATGATTTCAAGTCTTTTCTTTTTTGTCCTTTTCTCTGTCTTTCTCTCTCTCTCTCTCCCTTCAAATACACCGGAGTTCAAACAGTTACATTTAAATCATCAAAATTACAGGAGGAATTAAGTAAACATGCATATGAACAGCAGGAAGCTATTTGGGAATTTGTCACAACCGAACATCGATATTTGCAGGCAAATAAACTTTTCCTAAACAATTTCTCTCCTTTTTTCTAGAAGGAAAAAGTTTTTTAAAATACTTCATAAAAGATTAGTTATAGAGATTTGGCAGAATACTTTTTCCCAGTTAAAAAAAAAAGTGAAAGAAAATGAACGATTTTCGGAATTTAATTTAACAAATAATTAGAAAATGTGACTTTTTTTTGTATGAATAACAACAGACTTTAAACTTTAAAGTTAATGAGAAATTTAATTTGAAATTGTTTGAAAGATAAGCAGAAGTGGACTTTTTCATGCAACAGATGAATTTCGATAATCATTACATAAGGATGAAAAATTAGGAACGATATCTTTTCCTTTTTTTTTCTTTCTTTTTGATGTAGTTGATTTTTTCTTTAGAAAATCTTTTTAAGTTTTTACTGAAAATTGGATTGAAATTTGACAGCTTATTTTTAGCTTTTAAAACAAATGAATGAACTTTGTCAATGCTTTCTAAAAATGCAAGAAGTTGGCTACATGCGTGACGTTGACCCACGTCGAGTGTTTCTTAATTATCCTGAACTTTATCTTCATAATTCGAAATTTTGGAAAAAAGCAGTATTACCAATGCTTCAAACTTCAAGGTTTTCTCATTTCCTAAATAACTTTCAAACATTCACTATGGCGTACATCAGGAAATGATTGCTGGGAAATTTTAATAACCTTTAATTTGCTCTCCTGCTGTTTGTCTAGAATTTTTTTTTTCGAATCATAACAAACAATATAAGTACCATTTTTCTCATTTTTTTTTCTTTTTTTTTTTTTTTTTTTGTAGAAATAATGGTACTCCTCTTGATCCAGCAATCCTGAAATCCGGTTTTGAACGAATTGATGAATGGTGGCCTTGCTATACAACTTTCATATATGGTCATGCCGATTGTCATAGTTATGTGCAGAAATGTCAGAAAGAAAATGAACTGTTTCGCGAATTTGTTACGGTGCATTTCATTTATTTTACTTCTGAATTGATGTTTCATTTGAAAAACAAAAAATAATTTTGGTATTAATTATATGTATACATGATTAAATATTGAATACTTGAGTATGACTAGCTTACAGTGCATCAAGTTTATTCACAGTCAAAATTATTTTTTAACATTTTAAGAAATAATAAATTTTACGAATAATTTAAATCCCTGTAATTTAGGGAAAATTTACAAGATAAACTTGTTTTTTTGCAATTATGTTTGAATATTGTTTCAATTTGTTTTCTCTTTCATAATTATTCTTGTAACTTTAGTGGGCAGAATCGCAAGATACAATGAGGCGACAACGTTTATTGGATGCGTTAACGAATCCGATGCAACGTCTCACGCGATACAGTTTGCTTCTCAAAGCTGTTCTTAAGCATACCGTTGATGATACGGAACGAGATACTATTCAGGTATTGTATCCATTTATTTTCATTAATTACTGTTAAACAAATATTATCACAGATTATTTACTTAGTCAGTTGACTTTTTTTATTAATTCTTAGATTCCATTTTTATGAACTTTTCCCTCCAATTTTTTTACCAATTTATTTAGGTATCATTAAGAAAAGAATGATAAATTGCTACAATGTGCTAGAATTCTAGGCCTAATATAATGGTTCTATTGAAAGACACCAATTTCTAGGATATGATAGTACGAATCGAAAAAGCGACACGAAATGTTGAAGAAACATTAAATAACAACGACTTGCAAAATAAGCTGAATGAATTATCCAGAGCAATTGAGAGCTATGAAGCCGTTGATTGTGAAGAGTTTGAAAAGGTAAATAATAGTTTTACTTTATTGATGTCTTTTATTGTGAATATAACATATGAATTCACTTTTATTCCAATCTCAAAATTTGACATTTACATTGTTACACTGTCATTTAAATATATTTGTTTAAAGAAATGAACATTCATGCACTATAATTACCAGTAACTTGATACCAAACGTTTGATTTCATCAAGGCATTTTTTCTCAACTTATTTATTTTTTCTGTTGTTTGATATTTCCCATAATGTTTATGGTAATTTTGGCCTATCAGTTATATCATACAAATTATTCAAATGAAATTTAATTCCAGATATTCCCAATTAAATGCTATATTCGTTTGGCCGATCCGATGCCATATTTTGTGGGACAACCACAATTTCGTCGTGTTTATTTGCGTGCTGATTTGAAAATGAAAGACGGCAAACAGGGAACAAAGGTTTATTAAATGGAAAATTAACTAATTTATCTTTATAAACATGATAACATGATACATTAAGTTCTACATGTATTTTTCATTTCAGGTAGATGCACATTGCATACTTTTCACCGATCTCTTCCTCATATGTAAAGCTTCTAATAAACGTTATGATCGTCTAAGGATACTTAAACCACCAATACATATTGCTAAAATGTGCCTTCAGCGATTTCCTGATTATTGTAAGTTCTGTTATTAAATAATTTATACTTAAATATTTTCTTCCTATTTCTTTCATTTTTCAATTTAAATAATTACTGTGGAAATTTTTTTAAATCAATTTTTTTGTTACTAAAATGTTGAAAATTTTCTGTCATTTTGAGGAATATTCTAGTGTTTATCAAATATGACTTAATATGTTGTTGATTTCGTAGTGCAACCTCTGATTCCAATAATTGCTAAGATTTTGAGAAATTAAACGATCATGTTATGTCATCAAATATCTTACGAAAATTATTGAAATGGCTTTTCACTTGAATTATTGGTGAATGTACCCATTTCAATAGACTGTAATCTTTATCTCAAAATGTCCAATCTTCTCGTAGATGTTATTATGGGATGAGAAGATCGGGAAAAATGAAATTAAATGTTGAAGGAAAAGGAGAAAAGAGAGACATTGAGAAAATATTCAAAAAAGGAAATGGAAATGATAAATCGTATTGCAGCTGGCTTCGTAATAGCACCAATTAACGATTTTGGTATGCCCTCGGCATTATATTATTTATCGACTCCATCAATTGAAGAAACCCGCAAATGGCTCGAAATGACTAATATGGCATTAAGGGACTTTTATCGCTTGAAGTATAACATTTTTTATTTCTTTGTTTTTCTTCATAGAAATTTCAAGAAAGGAAAGAAGTTTACGCCTAAAAATTGGATTGTAATTGAATTTTATACAAGCATTTTATCATTCATTCTTTCTTTTTTTTTTCTAGGCCTCTAAGTCCGCAACAGTGCTTGCTAGGTATATCGATGGGATTATTTAATGGATTTGGATTAAACGATGATATAGATCATAATCGTTCCAATAGCAGTAGCGGTAGTAATCAAGAGACTATTAATCAAGAAATTATACATCGAAAAAGTTCCAGTATGGATTCTCAAATAGTTGCTGAACATAATCGTATTGCTAGTATGTTTCAATTTTAATCTTTATTGTAAATAGTGAAGAAATGACAAAAAAAGAAATGAAAGCGTTTTTTCATTAATTTTTGTTTTCTTAAAATCAAAAATGTTTAAAGAAGACGAAGTTCACTTTAACAACTGTCATTTTAGATGTGCGAAAAGTGAACACAGTATCGTCGGCAGATCAGATTGATCGATTACTAAGAGAAGGACAAAGTGTCGGCAATGGGATTTGTGGTAGTGTAAAAAATAATTTAGTATCACAGCATAAATTAGCTGTGATGGTTAATGATGATCGTTCCTTACCCTCATTAGTTAATACAACGTTAAATGGACAGTCAAAATCGTCCACAGATTTACACTTCACTTCAAAATCCGTTGAACATTTGGAATCACCCAATTTGCATCGTCGATCGCGATCGAACTCCTCTGGACCGACCGATGTTGCTAGGTATAATTTCATTCAATATCTCATATTACTCTTTCTTTTTTCAAATGCATTTCTTGGACATATATGAGATTTGGCGACATACATTCAAATTAATAAAACTGGTAATTTTCCAGGACCTATTTAAATAAGTCTTCCAAAGCCGGGTTCTCGACTCATTTATATAACAAAGGACATATCTATGTCAGCGATACACCATCCACATCGTTGGAACATCGAGAAGGATGCGACCTGCGTGCATCCCAAGGCACCTTAGATAGCAGTCCTGATTTTTCCGAACAACGAATTGCTGAGCGGCACGATGAAACGGTGAGATGTTCCTCACCTTCAATAATTATGACCTATGCGAACGATGAAAGTATCGGAACATCATCTTCACAGGTAATTAATTCTCATTTTCCATCTATCTTTTATTGTTGCTTTATAATTTTGTTTGTTTACTTGTTTGTTGCTATAGAATTCAACTTAAAACTTTCTCCATTATGTGCGGATAGTAACGGTTATATGATATAATAAGGTAGCAGAATATATTTATACATGCTTTAGGCTAATGAATTTCAACCTTGCGAAGCATATCCAGTAGTAGGAAGAGTAACAAGTCTTGCTGTATCCTGAAAGTGTTTTGATCTAGAAATAGTGTGCATGAAGCGTCAGAAGTTACTTCACTTTTTCTTTGAAATTCAAATTTACTGAATTCTTCACTTTTTCTTGTTTTTTGAAATTCAAAATTCACTGAATGATTACTTTTGAATATAGATGTTAAATGCACGTCGTTTTGAACGACGCTATCATACATCAGATGGTATTGATATTACTAAGCCAAAGGTACCAACGAATTTACCACCTGGGATTCTGAAACGATTCTCCTGGAACGTATCAACGGCTGTTGGTGGTTCATCCAGAAAAATAACGAATCGGATGAATGAACAGGTTCCATTTGTCATACTTTCACAATATATCTTCTAGTTTCTATATTCAGAATCAAATTCTTCTGTTAAACTCAAATCTTTATAGAATATTCGGCGTCAATCACAGTCGACGGTAGCTTCATCGGAATCATTCAGCTCATCAACATCTGGTTTCAGTACCGCTTCATCATATATGGAAGGTTCCACTGTTACAGAGGAAATGACTCCAACCGATGATCTTGATATGCATATTTCGACAGGTGAGATGCATTCTTTCAAGGTGCACTAAATTTATTACACAATTGTCATTAATTTTCATTCCATGGATGCTCTGCCTGTTCCTAAAAAAGCCATTCACAGCCTTTCTTATTCAAATATTACCATTAATTATAGTAATTCAGAAAAGAAAACAAGCATATTTTTTTTCTCACTTTATAAGGGAAATTATATCGATGTTAGCAAATAAAACAATTATTAGTCACATTACTCGTATAAGATGTATGATAGAGATTATTAATATGAGCTTATATTGTAGTAGCAATAGGAGAACAATTGGAGGATGTAGCGGAGGATACTCGAACTCTGAAGATTCAACTTAGCGATGAGAATATTAATGAAATTGAAAAGAAAGAAACGATAAGTGTTCCACCTCCACTTCCTGAGGCACCACCTCCTTCATTAAATGGTAAAGAGAAAGGAGCTGGATTTGGTGCTACTACCGCTCCTCTTCCTTCCACAACTGCAACTTCAGTCTTGATAACAGCTAACAAAGGAGCTGAGATGACAAATTCCGTTAAGCAGCAAGAGTTATTAAAATTCATCATGGACAATCATCTGGAGACCTCGTATGTTTCTCATCAATAGTTAATTTATTTTAACACGAAAATATTTTGTGAATGTATCGAAATTTCTAATTTGATTAAAACTCTTCTCTTTCCTCACTCAGTTCTACATTTTTTTTTCTACAAAAGCACTAGCTATATTAATTCATCTTAAGGAATATTTATTCACAATTCTTCAGATACCATCTTGTGAATATCGCAAAAGCAAAAGATTTTTAAATTGCATATAAAATCATATCACGAATGAATTTGTAACTGTTAGTTCAGTTGCTAATAGGAATGCTAAATTATTGGATTTAAAAATCGAAATTAAAATAAATTTGATTTTCAGTGATGTCTAAAGTGATTATCTATTCAGCATTGCAAATCATATTTGGTTGTATTAACAATACAAATCATCGCTATTCACAAAGAATAGAAGTCGTCACTTAATTTTATAAGCCAACTGGAAGTCTGGTTCCATGTAACTATATATTTGGGGATCATCGACGTTTCCTTGTGTTTAGTAGTATTTTTTTCTTATTTACTTTATTTGTAACACTTTGTAGTTACTGTTGAATGGTAACTGATAACATCAGTTACTCCTTAGTACAAAAGTAACTACAGCTTTTAACAATTTCTATTTTTTTTTTTTCTTTTTTGCTATTACAGCTATATCTGTGATATTTTGTTTCATACCAATACTATCAGTACTACTCGGTATTTTATATTTTTCTTATTTTTCCTACTCTTGATATATCTAGGTACCAGAAAACGTAGGTTTTAATTGAGAAAAAGATTAGAAAAAAACCACACTTCACATTGTATCATACATTGTATGATACAATGTGAGATTAAACAATAAGATTCAGCAGAAGAGATAGAAGATGCTAGCAAGCTTACAGTTTAGTAACCTGGTACAGTTGAAATATACATCGAGGGAGGACTACGAAACTTAGCGCTTCACCAATGGAATTTGTTGTATTTTTTCTATTTAATATAACTAACTATTATTGCTACTATTATGTAAATAATAAAGCCTAAAGAAAGTCGAGTTCAAACTTCATCATCGTAAAGCATTAAATGCAGCATAAATTCATTCATCCTACATACTTTAGTCGTTGGCCGCATCCATAAAATATTGACATCGAGGACCAACTTTAAAACCGCGTGGGCTAAGTTCTCATACTTTTTACTTCGTTATTAATTTATGGTACCTTAAGGCTTATATTTTGAGATGTGTGACATGTTTTCTCACCCCAGATCCGGAAAATTACAAAATTTAGACCTAGCATTTAATTAAGACTAACACACGTTTGGTACCAACACACATTATGGCGACATTAAACATACCATCAGATTTATTGAATTAGATTTATTTAGCAATATAAATAACGAGTCAGTTCTAAGAAACCAAATTACAACAAAAAAGCTTGAAGCAATCAACCCATTTTGTTTTTTTATTGTGCTCAGAGACGTCTAAAGTCCAAAATATCACGACCTTCAGATCAAAGGAAAAGTATGATCCTTATCAACCGAAGAAAACAAGTTCCTGCACTTGAGATCAACTCAAGATTCCTTTCAGAATTTTCCACTTTCGAAAAGAAACCACTTTATATCATAAGAGTCGCTATTTTTGTCTACTCCATTTAGAATCATCGTGAAACTCAAATCTTGTTTTGTCTACTCCATTTAGAATCATCGTGAAACTCAAAGGAACTCAAATTTAGAATCATCGTGAAACTCAAAGGAACTCAAATTTAGAATCATCGTGAAACTCAAATCTTGTGAGATAAAACTTAATGTTTAAAATCCAAATATTCTTCTGTAGTTCGTCAAAATTATTAAGAAAAATTAACAAGTTATGAAGTGAAGAAAGTTAAGTCATTTCAAAAAGGATCGGAACTCTTCATTGGACATATGTTTTGTTGACATTCCTGAGTCGTTTCCATTGCTTCTATTATCGACAGTTGATTTGGCCAGTTTTGTGGTTCTCGCCAGTGTTCGTGGTATCAGATCTATTTTACCTCGTTGATGCGACTAAAAATGATCAATGTTAAGAAAATTTTTCAGAATCAGTTGATTCAGAATCAATGAGATCACTACAGTGGCCTCTCATACTATGTAAAATCTTGTCAAACACTACACAAGAAAGCGCCAAATTAGAATTCAAGAAAACGTTTTTATTGCTGAAACTCACAACAGTTTGTGAGTGTCTAGTTTAACAATAATGTTAACTTAAGGTCCAGCTAAAGGCAGTAAGATTCACAAAACTCAGTTTCAGCTAAAAAATATTTTCCAAAGAAGTTAAAATTCGCATCAAAATAAGACCTTCAATTAACGAAGTACACCATTTTTTCAAATTTAAATTATCATTTCCCAATTAATTATTACATTACATTTACCAGATGCATACAATTATTTATGAAAAAGTATATATATGCTTTTGTTTGACAGCAAAACTATTTATGACTTATTTTCTCCCAGGAGTAAGATTTCTTAGATTTTTACACGACTGATTAAGTCTACTTCATTAGGAGAACGTGAAAATTGACCACAACAAATTTAAATTTGTACTATTTAATATTAAAAATAAAAACTGACTATTGAAATTAAAAGTCATGATGATTACATAAACACTGAATTTTTCAGCTTTTTATTATTCAGTTTTGTTTCACAAATGAAAATTTTTAAGCAACTGCTAAAAGTTTGATTATTAATTGCAATAATAAACAAAAAAATCAAAAATTCTTCAAGTACAAAATTTCATACAAAATGATTATAGATTTTTAAAAAACAAAAGTGTAACTTACAAAACTGGTTGTATTAAATCGCTGCAATTGTTCCTTACGCTTCGGTGGATTGCTGATTGCAACTGATAATTTTCGCTCTGCAAAGTACACAGACTTCATAGATAATGACCTAATAAAATTGCTGTTTTTTGATAGAAAGAAAAAGAATTATTAAGAACTAAGAACCTGTTACTTAGTAGTTTGTTCATGGTTAAAAAAAGGCTGAAGATGAAAATTCCTTTTTAAAAAACACATTTCAAGGGGTCGTTTAACCTTAGTTTCCAACCTTTTCAAGTGCCAATTAACGAAATTGATACTGAAAGCATTATTTTATACTGTATTATGCTATGGTGTATTTTACAGGTGTCCGTCCAGGCATTCCTGTAAAATACATCACAACATGAAATAGTACAAGTTTAAAACTTTTTTAAAAAATTGTTTAGAGCAGGTTTGGATGTTTTAATGAGACATTGCTATAGAAAAGTAATATCTCCCGAATTCAAAATTACGCACAAATTAAAAACTACTAAAATTAGGAGAACAGTGTTTCATTTAGTAAAATCTTGGTCCTCAAGTTGAAACAAATTTTTTCAATAGTATGCAATAAGCTGGTGAAAAATTTTGGCAACTTAAAATACTCAAACAAAGGGTTTGATAAAGATTATGAAAAAAACGCAAATGTTATGTTTATGAAGTTATGTATTTACAGTGTGTCATACGGTTCCACGAAACAAAATAATAACATAATTTGAACTGCTGTATGTATTTTTTCGCCTTCAGTCATATGCGCTTATAATGTTTTATTTGTTACAAGATATTAAGTTTAAAAACCTTCTGTTCTTTTAGTTAGTTATTTTGAAGGTCATATTTCATAAAACTTGCTTAAGATAACTAGAAGAATGAATATATTCAGATCTACAAAGTATAATATTTGAGATAAAATTATTGAATAATTCCAACCATGGGAACATTTGAAAATGAAATAAACTATATAACTAAATTTAACATCGCATTTATGAAAGGTCTGTTCATTTCGTAATAATAAATATTCAAATATATAAAGAATACTTTTCGTCAGATTAGTTTACCTCCGCTGTAATTTCAGTGCAGTAAAGGGAATACGACCGGATACTATATATATAAACAGATTGATCGATCAATCGATAGAGAGATAGACATAGATAGGAGATACATAAACACAGACAGATAGATATAAAAACACCCGCAAAACAAACCTAAAAGAATAAGGTCGCCAGCATCGCCAGCTTTCACTGCCATTGCAGCATCATTATCGTTTTCAAATTCTACGTATGCGCAACCTTTTGATTTACCAGATTTATGTGTCACAATACGAATATCACGGATTGTACCAAATATTGTAAATATTTCCTTAAAAGAAAATATAACAGATTTTGTCCTACTTTTATTTTCACATATATATGATCAGTGTCATAATGTTTATTTCAAAATTTGAGAACATATCAGATATTCCATATAATTTCATATAAATGTATTTCCCTCAGCAAACGTTTATACTAGTTACAAATAAACCTACTCAAATAAGAGAATTAAAAAAATAAAATAAAAAAGATAGCTCGTAATGCAGACGAGTACAAACCTTAAGTTGTTCCTCGGTAGCATCATAATGGATATTATTAACAAAAACTTTGTTTTTTTCCAAACCGGTACTGTAACGAAATTCAGTATTTTTCCCCTTATCATGCGGTTTATACTCTGAAACATACAATGGTCTGCCATCAATTTGAGTTCGATCCATTTTCAAAGCATCCCGAGCTTCCCGTTCAGTTGAAAAATCTATGTACCCAAATCCCTGCAATGCTAGCAATTTCATTTTTGAAGCTAAAATGCACCAATAAATCTGCCTTATTTACCTTTTAAACAGAGCTAATTTTTAAATCATAATACATATTATACAAAGTAAAAATTATCAAACCAAAACTAGTCCCATGAATAAATTCTCAAAATAATCTAGCGTCCTTACTGAGCTGAGAATAAGTATGAACAGAAGCCTATCAATATTTTCTAATGAGTTAGATTAGCAAATTATAACCAACTCCGAAGTGAAAACAAAGTTTGTAAACTGCATATGGCCTACTTTGTGCAATTTGCTCATCCCCCGATAGACCAGTCGAATTTCTTTCGCATTCAGGAATATTTCTTTCAGCCTTTCTGTTGGCAACTTAAAATCAAGATTGGAGACGAATACGGTGTGACGTTTTTCAGAAGCTTCTTCACTTGTCCCTTGCAAACCAAGATCTTGACTTGATGCTGTTCTCAGTTTCGATGACTGGGAAGGAAGTTGTGGAACTACAAAGCCATCGCCATCCACTTGCTTTTTATCGACTTCGCTCATCTAAAAGCTGTGTAATAACAAATAATTGAGAACTGCTGCCAATAACTAAATAAGTTAAATATTAAAATATGAAAATGATTTCCAGACTTAAACTATTAACACCCTCAAAAATTGTCAACACTTCAGTAAATCTTAACCTCTGATGCCAAAACAATTTGGCATATTAAAATTCGTCTGCAATAAAACATTTTAACTGCTGTAAATTCTTTACAATTAATTCCCTAAATCCCTACATTTGCATTTAATTCCAGCTAACTAATAAAACAATCAAGCTAAGTATGTACAGTTATTAACTCTCTATATTTGAGCTAGAAATGAACTTCACTCTTTGGATTTTTGCTCCTGCTTTCGTCTCTAACTCACAGTGCAATTCTCAGAATATGATAGTATTATTTGATAGCATTAAGAAAAATGAAATAAAACAGTTTCTACGAAATTATAATTAAGAACACCTCCCAAAACTTCTGAGAAATACCTCTTTCTTCTGCTGAATTTTTGCCGTAATTTTCAGTGTGCCGTTTATAAAATCATCCTCATTGGTTATGAATTTCTGTCCTTTCTTCTCTACGTCTTCTCTCTTTCGTTTAACTTCAACATCTTCATCATTTTCTTTCTTCCTTTTTTTACTACTTTTCTCCATTTTGTTTTTTTGCGGCCTCGATGAAATCCGACTTACTTGAGCATTTACCTTTTGCAGCGCTTTGTCCAGATCATCAATACTTCCTACCTCTCTCTCAAACTGGATAAGAGCATCAAATACCTGAAATATTTCACTTTTTGCAGAAAGTGAGTTGCAATTCTTCACACAAATATAAAATGTGGAAGGTTTCGGATTACCCTTTTATTTCAACCTTATTCTGAGCCAGACAAAACGACAATAAATATAGCGGAGTGTATTCACCGTGTATGGATGATCGCTTGCTGAATTGATAGCTTTGTAAAGCAGTTTACGCGCGTTATTCACATCACCGAAAAAACGTTCTAAATTAGCAGCTTCTATCCAAGCTGTTGCTAAGTGACCACTCCCCGATGCCAGAATATCATTCCAAATTTTCAGAGCTAAAAACGACAAGAATTACAGTCAGAGCAATGAATCTAAAATTTCAATTAATACAGCTCACTGTTAAATCATTTAGTAACAACGCCTTTCAAGGAAACTTGAAACAGTACAGTACAAACATGGAAAATGGAATATTATTTAAAACATTACCTTTCTTAGGCTGTTTTGCAGATGTGTATAAAAAGAGGGCATGGTTCTTACGATACTGAGCTTTTGGGCTATCCCAATTAGCTCCAAATTTTTTAGCCAAAAAATCTGCACCTTCGTCGAATTTCTCTAACACAGCAGAATAATCATTGTTACCTGCAACAGTGGGGTATATGATTATGAAAATACTCAACGAAGAATATTTTTTGGGAATTTTTTGGAAAAAGAGTTTGGAAATTTTGCTACAGTTATCAAATCAAAATTAAATTGAAGAATCTAAAGTTCAGAAGATTTTTCAACAACTGCGGGGTACAGACATAAGCATCCTAGTGAATGGTTTTATCGATACGAAAAATTACTTAACAAGTAATGAAAATTTTGCATGCATATTTTCGGCATGACATCTGTAAATTGACGAAACTAAAACATGGCAGCCTAAAAAGTACACCTTGCTTGGTAACACGTCGTCGAAGAAGATATATATATGTACGATAGAGAGAGAACCCCTCTTCTTGTGTCATTATTGTATCTCGAGCATCTGGCCACTTAGTATCAATTTCTTCAGGAGAAGCATCCGACCGTTCTAGTGCCGAAAAATACTGCTGCCAAAGTGCTGAGCATGGTGCATGACGTACAGAACGTGCGTATACGTCTGTAGAGACCTTAAATCCAAACGTTTGTATTTTGTATTTCTCATTCTATACTACATTGTGTTTATGGAAATAATAAAAGTGATATGGTAGTGAACTTATTTTGTCATTTTGTAGGATATGCCAGAAAAAAGTGAACTATATTATATCGAGTAAAAATATATTAATCCAGACTAAAGACTAGAGACTCTTTTAATTGAATATTCTTTATACAAATATAAAACTGTTTCAAATTGCATATCATGGAAGTAATAACTCTCCAACACTCATCTTTCAGTTATAACTGAGCTTACCTGTATTGTTTTTATGGCTGCTAACAAAGAATATATGCATTACTCAATATGTTAAAAAATTGTTCCTTTGTCTTAATCAAATCTATATACATATTGTAGAGATTCTTATGACATAATTCTTACTTTCTTACTACATAAAGAGTAAAGATTAAAGGTTAGCCGATAGATAACATTTTATTCAGTGGAAATCATGTGCTTGTTGCAAGATAATGTCCACTAAGGATTTAAACTCTTTGCTCATTTTTTTAGTATTAGTAAATTACAATTCGGTTACTCTCTTGCATTCATTTAATTCGATTCATTTAAATCCTTTACTTAACTTTAGCATCAACTTATTTCTCCCTCTTCATCTCATATTCGTAGATAAATTTCACAAAATTATCAGTATTGTTGCTGTGGATTAAAACCTGTGTACCGCAGTACTCGTTCACAACACATTCGTTTATACAACTCCAAACTAAAACTAAGAAAGTCCTACAATTTCTTGACAGGGATAATTTCTTACCAGATAAAGAAGGTAACAGTTGAACAACTACAATTAAAGAAACTGTTTCTAACCTGTGGCAATTTCAATGACGAATCCAGCCAATTACCGTAATGCAACCAGAGATCAGAATTTGGAGAAGCCGCAATTGCACAAAGTGCCCTTTCAAAAATCATTTGGATTCTTGCCGGATCGTTTGCTAAAATGTTTGAATCATAAATACAAACCTCAGATAACTTCCTCGATATTTGATTTAAATATGATGAAAAAATAAAGAAAAAGTAATGAAGAAAGGAATTTGAAAAGTTACTTTGCATTTCGAAATTAATGTATTCCATTAGAATAGATAACTTCTTATTTTCTTCTGTGGCATTTTCGAGACGTTGTTCAAATTCACTGATATCCGCCATACGTTTTGCTGAGTTTTCAAATGCTTTATGAAACTCCTCTAACTCCTTACCCTCTGAAATTGTAACAAATGTTTTTAGTAATAGCAATACTTTTGACTACTTTCACTTTTCTAGCATAATCTCCTTTGACGCTATTCTGATCGTCATTCTGGAGACAAAAAAAAACTTCGTACAACACTGAAATATATTTCGTAACGCAGCAAATTAAAAAATAAGACACGGAACTCAAGTTACATGTCTTTGTCAAACTTATACCCCTTGGAGAAAAAATAGGAGAAACTATTGGAATATGTACAAAAATTATCTCTAAATAATACCTGACGAACTGGTTAACCTAAAAAAAGAAAAAGATGAGATGAAATTGGATAACAAATTACCCGCAAATTCCTTATATTCATTCCATGACTCCTGTAAACCCTGATGCGGCACACTAAGCAATCGTCCATAAAGCGATTCCACATGTTTCCTCTGCTTATCTTTTTCATCACTCATCGAATTCAGAATCATTTTTTCAAAATCCAAGTAAATATTCCAAATCAAAGAAGCACAATCAGCCCGTAGGCCTATTTTTATCACCGCTTCTTCCATTTTCTAAAAAGTTAGTAAGCCATCATCGCCGTAAAATTCTCCAATTCACTGTCAAATATTATTAAAAAAGCATAACTAGAACTGATTTTTGCTTTTAGCAACATAACATAAAACTAAGTCATTTAACCATTTGAACATGTGACGTGAATCTCATCAGTCTCTGAAGTGGACGAATAGTTTGGCGGACAGTCTGTCTTCTATAAAGTCATGTGTAGTTATGATTAAGTTATTATTCATGATTATGCTATGCTGAATGATCTGACAATTAGACAGACAAAGGACTTGCTAAAACATTCGAAATCTGCTATCTTATTTTTTTGTATTCTAAGTCTGGAAATTCAACAAGAGATACTTTCGTTACCTCTCTTGCAAAATCGAGAGATATGCCGCAGGCCCACTGAACGTATTCAAGATAAACTTCGGGACTGTGAAAATCTCGAACTGCACATTCGAAAAGCCGTTTAATCAAATCCTTGCTACTTTCTGCCGATTTTTCATCTCTAGCGCAAAAAAAATTTGATAATAAATGAAATTTGTTAGAAGTGAAAATTCATATTTTTTTCATAGAGGTGGAAGCTTGTGACTTATCACTACTTCGAAATCATGTCAAGAAATAGCAGAAACATAACTGACAAACTTAGACTCATTGATGTAAATAAATTTCACAACTATTTCTACTACTGAACATGTTTCATGACTAAACATTCCAAAGTATTCGAAATAACTTATGGCATAATGCAACTGATTCTTATTTTTTCAAAATACAACTAACTCGATCCACTCCAACCAAAAACTAGGAGGCATAGTATACAATGACGATATGTAATCCCGCTGTTCTCGAACTCCTTCAAGCTCACCACTTCGACGCAAAGCCTCAATTAATTTCATACGATTGTCATAATCCTTGGGCGAAATTTCGACCTGCAATGTATGTATGTGATGTCACATGGTGTGCTTTGCTTTACTACTTTCAAATCATATCAGATTATGGAAAAATATCATGAACTTCCAGATCGGAAAGTTCGAATCTCAGCATTAGAAAGTGAAAAGGAAACTTACCATTTTTTTTATTTCTGAAATAACCTCTTCATATGTCTCATCATCGTATACCTCATCATTTTGCTCTGCCATCTCCTCGCTGTTGTCACTTTCCACATCACTCATTTGCTTGGAAAAAAAAAGGAATCTACTTAAATCACAAATTAGTTTTGTCCACTTAAAACTTCTCAATTCCGCACCTATAAAACGAAAGTTATTGTGCAAAACTTGAATATCTCTGATTAAATAACATTTTGATTTGTCGACTTAATAATAACTGAAATATTGAACTATGCAGAGTCTCTTAATTTCATCTAAAAAGAAAATTATTAACAAAATTTTAATCCATTTGTGTGGAAAAAAAAAAAAAAAAAAGGAGATCAGCCATAGAATTCATTTTATTTTATCAGTTAGGATTCTCAGGTCATCTTAATCCCGAATTTTGTATTACTAAAACTGTTTTTAAAATAACATTTCGCTGTATCCATAATGTACACGTGACGACAACAGTGTAATTAGGAAAGCTATTTATTACATCAACCTCTTAAATATTCTTTCTTTTCAGCAAACTTGTCATTCAAGAGTTCAATCAATATTCTTAAATCTAACTACTTTTAAGTCTTATCTGAAGTTTCAACAGAAATACCATCGAATTACTAAACAATGAACGAATACCAATCACCAAACTCCTCTCATACCATCATGGCCTACGGTATTTGTCGCATGATTGTCGCATGCAATTCAACAACGCAATATATTGTTTCAGCGCAGATAAGTTTACGGTAGTGTAATAGGGATGTGACATTTGGTGATATTGTGTATTTGGATAACATTCAATTATGTGCATTATATTGATAACAATTAAAAATAATGCCTTATTTTTGAATGAAATCTTAGTTTTCATTCTAATCTTTGACTAAAACAAATTACATAAATATTGATGGGTAATTAACGAAAGAGATATTTGTTAATTAGAATAATATTTTTATCGAATTGTTCCTACTTTTCAGCTGGCAATTTTTTTTAATGGCTTTTTTTTAAATCGATGTGACTGATTTTACACTCAATTTCAAGATATGATTAGATTTATTCATTGAATTTTTAATTTATGTATTAGTCAGCTATTTCGTTTCTGTATTAGATATTAGTTGAAATTTTGAGAATGCATGTTTCTATGTTAAATGATATTTTTGATGATGCTATGTTTATGAGATTTAAACTCATATTTTAGATAAATTTTTGACTTTTTCCTGGAATGTTAAACGAATGAAATAGCTGACGTGATGAAACGTTTTAATGACATTTGTCAACGGAGAAGAAATTTACAAATTGCTAATGCTGTGCTATTTTTTGCTTGAAAATATGCAAGCATGTGATTTGATTTATATTCGGTCCCATGAGCAAAATGCAAATTGAGTTCAATTTAATAAAGCTTAAGTCGAGTGCTCTTCATGCTGAAATGTTTAATTAATGAAATGCAATACAAGATGATAAATGCATGCTTACGTAGATATCAAGCATGTCATCTTTTTGCTTTCCTTTTTCTTTTTTCAATTCTCGGAAGATTAAAATGAATAATTTCTTATAATTTAATAAAGTGACAATAATATCTTTATCTTAAACGTAATAATCTATTGCTCTTTCGATATATACGTTGCATAGGGTATAATGTGTGAATAATTGTAATACGTAATGCATCTGGTCTATGGTAATTTCAGTGTTATCAGTATGAAATATTTCCTCAATGATTTAATAATTCATTTGCGATAAATTTATCAGTTATTTTATGAATTATGTTCTTTGAATGAAGAAGGTTTATTTATTAACGAAATTTAAATGATGAAAAAATATAAGACTTATTACGAAAGAAAAAAGCGGTGTATGAAAAGAAAAGTGAAATTTAAATCTCATATTTCAAACTTCTTGTACCATTGTTTAGGAAGATATGATTACCAATTTTTGCTCTCATGCATTTCAAATTTATTACTCATAACATTTTGCAGAATGTGTCCTTTCCCATGATGCTATTTCTACAGTTACGTCATTTACACACCACTGTGAAACGAACCATAGAGGTGCGCATAAGTTATAATTTAAAAAGGGAATGAGAGATAGGGAGAGGAAGACCTTTGGCCAATCAGCCTGGTCATCCATCTCTTCTGGCTAATTGTTTCCAAGCGTGAATTTAGCAATGCTATTTTTATTCATGGGTACTTTTATAATTAAAGTTTTACTGCAACGGTTTCCCAATCTGTTGTTGAGAGATATAACTTTCCACATAAATTCGTAAAATATCCTATGATATTCTTTAGCACAACCCTGAAAAGCATTCATCACTAACTTCCAATTTAACACTAACCTCGACAGATACAAAGCAACTGCAATAATGATTTATGGTACTTTCCTACTGTTACTACATCTGCCTTTGCTGTTTGCTATTGCTATTTTAAATTTGCATTGTCAGGTTGGTATATTTTTCAAATTCCATAGGTTTTCAAATTCCATTTGGAAAATTTAACTAAACATTTCAAAAGCATAAAACTGTCAACATTGTGTCACAATAGAGAAAATTAATGGGAGATCTAGTAGATTTTAAGCACTCTATAATTAGTTAAGTTTAGATTACGATTTATTAATCAATCATCTAATCACAAAAGATTTGAAAGTGACTGGTTAATCATATATCTTTCTCAGGAGATATCATTAGTCTGCTTAATATCACATTCCCACATATCCTAATTAATTAATTTAGTTAGCCTTTTGAGAAGGAATAATAATTAGCTCCATCGGGAATGATAAAATTATTACTTACAAACGTATACTGTTAAAACAGATATAATCACCTAAACTTTTTAATTACAATAATCACTTTAATCCCACGTATTATATTCATTTTGAAAGCGAAAATTTTTAATCAAATATTTAAAATGGATGATTTATAATTAAGAAATAAAAAATGTTGTCGTAGAGTAATGGCGATGAATATGAATCAATAACAAAAATACAAACTATTTAACTCGAAGAATCAAATAGTTAATGAATCGCTGAATTTAGTCCAATTCTAATCGATGGTTTCTCTTTTTTTTTTTCTTTTTTTTGTAGGCAGTGGATGCAACTAATGATTATTTCTTTCGATCACCAAAATGGGTGAATCTGGGACCATCCGGAGGTTCACTCGTTTCCGGCCGCGGTAATTTCCGGCCAGGCTTTAGTTCGAGTGTTTCCGATAGTCGCTTTTACTTATCCGAGCCATTATTTGCATTCAAAGTGCGGATTTTCGAATTAAAATTAAAGAAGAGATCTTTTTTTTGTCATCCGTTTGCAACTGTCTAACTTCACATTTCGTGGAAATTTGAAATAATTGTTTTTAATTGATTTCCGATGTGGATCAGATAACATTTTTACGGAATAGACTTTTCCGGGGAGTAAATATGTAACAAATGTTTATCAATGAAATGAATCGCAATAATGAGAAAAAAACGAAAGTTAAAAGCACTTTCCATTCATTAAAAAAAAGAATTTGAATGCTTTAACATTCAGATTCATTCGATGCTTACTTACTTACTTACGTACTTTCCTTATGTCAAACATCATAATGGCTATATTTTATTATTTCAGAGAACATGAAAGATTTCCAATGCAGCAGTGATAATGGTAATGCGCAATTAGTACCACATATGTACTAATAAATCACTAAAATTTGTTGTTTGTACGATATGCTCAAAATAAAGAATGCTATTGTTGCTCCAGTGCTAATCAAACTAAAATAAATATAATTCTCAAAAATTCATTATTAAATAAGCGCCTTATTATTCAATTGCTTAATTTGAAAAAGTTACTGATAAAATGTATTACTTAAACAAAGTACTTAAACGGTCTATTTTGACAAAAATTAAATTACTACATGTTGGATAGAAAGAAATTAAATTGTCACCACTACTAAATTTATCTTTCAATAAGTTTTCAGTACAAATTACTTGTAAGCTGATCCTTCGCTTTATTTCACTAAGTAACACAGCAATTCTAAAATCCTCATATTTAATTCTTTAAGTACTTAGTATCTACTGAGTAACAGAGGAATAAAGTAAGCCTACAATGCATTAATGGATGCTGTTTTAGCCATTTCTGGCATCAATTGTCTAAACCAGTCCCAGGCCAAATGATATTTAGTACTACACCAAACAAAATACAGTAAGACAATTTCCTTTCTTCATGAGATAATTTTATTGCACAGTAAGTCATCTCGGCAGGTTGCCAATGTGATGTGTTGTTGGCTATTTCGTTAGCAGTTGGGTTTGTATTTCACTCTTGCGTGATTTGGTTTATCCGTATCCGTCTTCCGTTTCCTAGACATATTGAGGTGGGAGGACACTTTACGTGTTACGTTATCAGATTATCATTCCATGCAGTATTTTATCAAAGTAAACTTTGTACTGAGAATGGGACTAAATGTGGTTTATTTTTAAATCAGCGAAGTATTTCACCATCATTTTTGATTTGAAGCACTGCAGTTTTTTTCAGATTTCCAAGATTAGAATGTTGTGCTGGTCTATATTATATGTCATGTTTTTGATTGGTATTGTTAATTTATGTGGTGAGTTATTGAAGTTATTCGGACGGCTGTGAAATAATTGCTGTTTTTCTGTCATATTTTGAAGGCAGACAAGACAAAGAGTTATAATAAACTAAAATAAAGTCATAAAAACTGAAATTACATTTTTGTAAGTTCTGACAACTTTTTCATTTCTAGAGGGTTCGGGAAAAGTTCGTTTGGCCGATGTCACAACGCTAACATTATATCGAGATAAGTATACGACAGGAAGAAGGTCCTCTCCAATCCCCCAAATTCAATGTGTCGGAGGATCGGCGAAGGGAAAGTTTGAGCCCAGAGTATGTATATTTTGTAGTACAGGGAATGGTCATTTCTGGAAGTCCAATTCATTCCTTCAGATTAGATTTGACTAGCAATATTCTTTTGGAATGTTTGTTGCTATATCCTGCTTCTATTTTTAGGTTGTGCAGTGCTACAATAGGGGTTATGATGGTATCGATGTTCAGTGGGAGTGTAAAGCCGAAATGGGTGATCAGTATGAGTTTGGCGAAGTAAATTTTTCACGATCGATTGTATTGATTATCTAAGTGCTAGTTGTAAGTCACCATAAGTTTTTGTCTGCAGCTTATCATATTAAAAAAAATTAACTCTCACGTCTGTTAAGCTTGCTAGAAAATAATATGACTTTGGATCCGAAAATTTAATCGAAACTTGACCGAATTTTTTCAGATTCGCATATCTTGTGAAGGGTATGATTACGCAGATGATCCGTATATTTTGCGAGGTTCTTGTGGTGTAAGTTTAAAATTTATTTTTTCAAGCAAGTTTCCGATTGCCTTTTATTATTGCTCAATAACATGATTTTATGGACATTTATGGTAATTTGGCTGTAGCAGTTCGTTATCATCACGATTCGTTAAAATATTGGTACTAATAGTGGAAAGTGTTTATTGACATAAGAAATTACGCCATGATGCAAGCAACTAGTAATTCTCAATGAACTGCTTAAGTTTAGTTGCATGTTCTCATGAATTAATCATTTGTGATAAATAGATTAATTTTCAGTTTGATATGATTGACTGGTATTTTTTAGTTGAAATACAGTTTGGAATATAGTCATGAAAGAGGAAACAATTATGGTAAAAACAACGTACCAAATGCGCCACCTTATGAAAAGGATCATGAGTGAGCATTTGCGGAAGTGTTTTTGGCTTTCCATTATTTTTTTCGAAGTAGTTTTCCAGAACATTTTTTATAATTATGGATAGTATTTTCAATTATGATGCAGTTATTTATAATTTTGGATTTCTTGATTCAAGTTCTGTATTAATCATTTCAGATTTGGTTCCTTAACGCTTCCGTCAGTAGCTATTTTGCTTTTATTCCTTTTCGTAGTCTACTATAGTTGTCTGCAACCTGTTACTGATGATGACACAACACGTCGTAGTGGTATTCGATTTTTTTTTTAATTGAATTTAAATTTTTAAAAATTTCCTTCTAACTTTTTTTTTTATTTTGCAAATACATGGCTGCGATCATTGTTTCCTTATTTGACTTATGAATAAGCAGTAAAGATAGTAAGTGGTTTTTAAAAAGGTATACTTTTAATGGTGAAAGGTAAAGAGAAGTGGGGCGAAAGAAAGTCATATGTTGGCAAAACTATTTACTTCAAAATTTTTGGTTGTCAGTTCTTATTTGACAATCTACAGTATACAGTTTTTAGATTCACTAAGTACAGTATTTTAAATTCAAGTATACACTATATCATTTTTCTTAAGTGGTAGCCACCTGGTGAAATGAACATTTGGATATAACAACTAAATTAATTTTCGTTAATTATTAATCTTTTTTTTTCGGTTGGGGTTGGAACCAAGGACCACCACCTCCACCACACAGTGGAAGACCACCACCACCAGGTTTCAAAAGCTTTACACGTCCAACTGATGCACCTCCTACGTATGAAGAATCTTTTTACAATGCATCCGGTACACAATCCAGTGGACCCGGTTTCTTTTCTGGTCTCGGATTAGGCGGCTTAGCTGGTTATTTGTATGGCAGAAGTCAGAACAGGTTTGTTCATTCTGTCCAAAAAAAGTTGAAATGCAATTACTATTTTGATGTTTGTAAGCGATCAATTCACTAAAAATCTGTTTGTGCCAATTACTATTATTTATTTTAGTGAAGACAGTTTCTTTCGAGGTAGGAGACCATATGAACAAGATGGTTTCCGGAGTTCTTCACATAGTAGATATAGAAGTGATTCGCCAGGACCTTCAACAAGTCGAACAACATCAGGTAGATTTCTCGCTTTATTCAACATTTAACTAATTATGTATTTTGTAGTGAATTCAGCGTGTGAGATATAACTGCTTATGTGAATATCAACATTGGACGTTTGTCAATGCTGTTAGGTAAATTTTATCGTCTTCAAATAAAATTCAGTTCTTATCTCTTTCTTCAGTGACGCTTAAACTTTCATTCTTTAGGTTTTGGTAGTACGGAAAGAAGATAGTGCTGCGCACACTTTGTGTATTATGTATCCTTCAATTGCCTTCTAGCGAAATGGTAATGTGCCATTTTTGTTTGTAAGTTGCTAGCAAAGATAAATGTTGAACTAGTTCCATGATGTATTCTGTTAGCTTTTTTCTCTGAATTCTATGTGTTCGCCTTTTTCTTAAGATTATAGTGGCGAGTTTATCTTATTTTATTTATAATTTTTATCCCTGTAGGAAATGGAATAGATTTTGGTTCATTGTTCACCACTGTATTTTTTATAAGAAGGATTCTTGCAGTTATTTGTATTTTACACGATAATTTTTTCCAGTAGATTTTTTTGCTGAACATTTATAATATTGAATCAAAATTAACACAAAAGGCACTGCTTACACTGCCACAGCCAATTGTTTAAGGATTATAAGAAAGATAAAAATAATGTTCTCAGATTCTCTCATTTATTTCGTTGGAAAATTAAACCCTCTATTGATATTACACAATGAGCCGTAGGAAAGCAGTGTCGGCAGAAACATTCCGTTTGTGCATTCTCGCTTTCTCATTTATTCATATTACCCTTTCGTTACTTTCCTTACTCTCCTTTTTTTCAATTTGAGACACATTAATGACTAAGTGCATTGAATTAAGATGTCATTTATCTGCCTCACAAATTCAGAAAAAGTGTTGATCAATTTGAATGATTTATTTATACATTATTGGTATCATTTGTATATTAATCAATGGTGCAATGAAACGTTTAAATCGATGGTTATATAGACCTTAACTTGTAAAATGATGATGATCTCACTTTCAACTGTTGTTGGATCTAAGATTAGAAAAAATCTTTTAAAAACTGGATGAGTTATTTTTCCACTTATTTGGATTTTCGTGCTTCTTTTCCTCAGTAATTATTTGTGTTTTTCTCCTATTCAATATACTTGCTTCGCAGTCCTAAGATTTTACGCTTCACATCTGGACAACTGCAGTTCGTTGTTTCTTCATGAATTAATTTATCAATTTAAAAAGAAAAAACATCTGAAGTTTTCGGTGTCCAATGAAAAAATTACAACGGAATTAAAAGCTTAGGAATGAAGACTTATCATTCACAAACGTAACAGTTGACAATGGAAATCAAACTGTTAGATGGAACATTCTTCGATGGCAATCTAATATATATGGGGAATGACGTCTAGTAGGCTCACTTGCATAGTAGATTCAGTCAAATGAAGTATAATTTGTATCTTGTATTTATCAAGAATATAATTCTGCCTTTCCCCTGTTTCCAGTCATCCTTTTTTGTCCAATAGTACTATCTAGTTGTTATATCTTATTTTCGAGAAAGTACATTACTTTGATAAATTCAGAAAATATTAAAAATTTTTGAAGTATTCAATATTTTGCTCCTGCATCATCCTCGTACTTTATGCTTTATATATCGTTTTCTGTTTGGGTATGTTCTAATGGTATTGGTAGCTTGAGCTTGAGCTTTACATTCCCTTCAGTATTTGCATTTTTCTTGGATTTATTGATTGATCTGCCCCTGGTTGGCTTATTACGACTGCTTATAATAATCTTCAGTCTAGAGTTCTTAGAAGTATCCGTGTCCGGTACACTTTGTGTTTTGTCTGTTCTCTTTAAAGTTGATGCCACTGTAACTGTTTGTTTATTATTACTTTCTGAACTTTTTTTTTTTTTTTTTTTTGGAAACTTGAGCTAATTTATTAATATTTGATGGAAAAGTCTTAATAAAGTTCACAGTTTGGAAAAAACACATTTTCTTAAAATCACTAGCTTATTTTTCTGAGGAGAACGCGCAATGAAATCATTCAGGGATTCGAAAATTTAGTATGTCAAGGAACAGTTTATTTGAGTGGATGATTAAACCATGACCCGCTGTAGACTTCAGGGATATTTCGCTGAATCGGAAATGTTATTTTAATTTTTAAGAAGTAAATGCACCGGAAGAATGACTTACCAAATTTGGGTGCTGAAATGCTGTGCAGTTCACCGAACGAAGTATTGCTGTATTTTCGGTCAAGTCGCTCAGTGAATTTGTCATCATCCTTTAAGATTCTCGGTAGTAGAGTCGAAATAGTCCTTTTATAAACAGTATCCTAAAGTGGTCATCTGCGCTGGATATTAAAACATCAATTCACAGTCTCAAAATTATTCTATCTCACAAAATCCTACATAGATTTCCTGAAACAAACTTTCTAGAAGATGCCAGTCTTTCCGATTACAAAACTAAAACTAAATCAAACAAAAGCAATAATTCTGAGTAAAATAATGACTGGCATATGATTGCTATGTTAACGGTGATAATTAAAAAATTCAAAATACCTCCCCGAAGGTATCTTTATCCGCAAGAAGTACTGGTATTTCTTTCCTTGATATTTCAAGTTTTTTTTTCTCGTATAACAATTTTAGAATACAACGTGCTAATTCAACTGCTAAGATTACCATAACAGCGTACATTATCACTATGTAAAACTATAAATGATGCAATAGAAATGTAAATTATTATCAATTGACGGAGTACATTCATGCGTCATACAGCCTTTGCATATTCAGAAACTAAAAAATAATCTTTTGCTTGATTTATCGAGAAAACTTTGATTAATGAAGAATCAAAAGAGAGTGTTTAGATCAGGAGAAGGATTGAAATTCTTGAATCGTTCCTTGCCTTCAATTCATATTATTGAAATTCAAACACACCGTTGCTTGTTCCTTGCCATAAAACATTATATAAGACAATGTTTTATACATTTTCAACCGCTTTAAAGCATGCAAACTTATAACATTAAACCAAAATGTATGAAATGGTTTTTTTTTTTTTTATGAGGCAATGCGATGTGTCATTACGCTGTGATTATCAAATGATAAATTAAAGGAAAAATCCCTTTCCCAGATGATATCAAAATTAATTTCTCGTCTCCCTATTAAGTTTATCACTTAATGAAGAAACGAAATATAAATCATTCATCCCAACTTTTCTGGGAAGTAACATTGTTGATTTTGAACATTACTGAGTCTGGGAAGTGGCATTACTGACCAAAACATTGCATTTTGCATTATTAAAAGTGAACAGTTTTTATATATTTGATCTGAAGCTATTCTAAGCCTCAGACAACTTTCCAATTTAACTTGAGCACATCTTTATCCAATTTTAAAAAGAGCTTTTAGAAAAAAAATAGCAAATAAATAAATAAAATAGATATACATCACTGGAAGAAAGTTTGAATTGAGGTTTTCTTTCTTCCCTCTTCTCATATTTCCGTATTAAATTTGGCCACTTTTATACTGATGAGACTGCAAGTTAATTAACTGATACCCAAGTAATCTAAATATTAGATTCATTTATTTCACAGCCCTTACTATTAGATCAGATTTTACTTGATCCTACAAAAAAAAAAAAAAAAAAAAAAAAAAACAAAGTAATTGGTTCTTTTCTAGTGTTATAACCCACTGCTTTTCTTTACTACTGCTTCACTTTTGAAAAACGGCATGTGACAAAAACTGAAACGAAGATTTTTAACAATAAATGTACAAATGGAGATCACAGCCTATCAAAACCCTTCTAATTTCTTCTGAGTTTGTTTCTCTTGTGAATTTTATGCAAAATTAAACATAACAAACAGACCAAAATATACTACATTATTCTCATCAGGTAGATGGAACAAACAACAATGGCTCGTTAGTACTGCAAGATGGATGGATCCATATAAACATATGCTCTAGAGTCGATATTCCGACGATAAGACAGAATATAATGGAAGCTTCTATAGCAATCATCGCACATATGAGCTGGACTTATCGGGAAACTTTCACTTTCAACTATCCAGCTAAAAAAGGAATAAGTAAAGGATTAAGTAGCCGGAAGATGCAGTAAATAATTAACATATAACGTTAAAAGATAATAACTTTTTTATACACTTACACATCTTTTTTCTTCCTCCGTTTAACCTTATACAAATGATTAACTAATCACTGATAAATTCTCACAGCCATCACCATTCTGTAGGAAGAAAATCAATCGGAATCGAAAAAATAATAATTTACTCGGCGATCCGTTTATGGCATGTAATGCAATAGTTTTCCAAACTTGTGTCGGACAATTTTTGAGGGAAATCGATCGGATAATCCTGTATATCCATCAATCGTAGATCGGTGAAGAAGAAAACATGCTCGCAATTACCCTGATGAACATAAACATATGGATATCCAAGGCGACACACCAAATCTTTGACCTGAAATGGAAAGTAGTATAATGGAAACTACAGCTACTGTGAGGTAAGCAATAAATAGCATCACTTTTTCGTATAATGTATCACTGCATTATTCAACAGAAACATACGGAATAACACAAGTTTAAACATAGAGGTGGTACTTTTTTATTAAATGGTACATTTTACTACCAGTCATATATTTCCCATAGTACCAATGTAACAGGACAAAGATTCAGAACTGATCAATTAAGTTTATGCTACATTAACCTTGCCCTCGTTGAGACTTTTGACTTGTGTTGGACCAAAATCTCTTGGTTTTCTTTTCATCCATTCACGTATAGGTCTAGAAAGCGTGTATAATAACATTACAATACAAAAGTTTAGGAAACTTAATATCCTTCAATAACTGTGAAATTAAGTTTCTAAAAATTATGTATTTAGCAGTTAGTTCGTCACTATTTATAAAAAGTGTCTGCTGATATAAACAGAAAAAAGTTATTTTAAAAAAGTAACAGAGATCGTCAATATGGACGAAACTATAAAAAATTGGTTCAAAAATTGCTGATAAGAACTGATTACTCTGAGATATCAATGTGAGGTTCAATTTTCGAATTATCAATTTGTAACAGTGTTTCCTTAGATCCAGTGTAGGTTTCTGCTATATAAAATGTATCATGGATAAACAAGAATGATGATGGATATTTGAACTGAAAAATACATCATAAATTGCAAAAGAGAAAATGGAGTTTCCGAAAAAACTTTATTTCATTCAAGTAGAGCAACTTGATTAATTCTAAATAAAAAATCAAAATTTTGTAAAATGCAACTTCCAAATGTAGCCACAATTTACAAGAATACCATGTTAAAATCATGCAGCTGCGGCACTTTGTCTTCATCTACTGCCGTTCCATAATCTGCAGTACAGCGAAATAAACTATGCAACTCAAGCAAAGATGTCTCACCCCGTAATAGAAATCGCCAATATGGACGCAGCTATAAAAAAATTGGTTCACCAAATTGGTTAAATTAATTTCTACTTAGAGTGGAGGGCTTATTAAACGCTCTGCACATACGGATCCTTTCCCTCACCGTTTTACTACTCTGTTTGCACAAAAGGATGATATCTACATATCTTCGGTATAACATAAAACTTGACACTGCTAAATTTTTTACTAACAATAATCAATGCTTCAACACTTGTACATGAACGAAGTTCATTAACCGCAGTGTAAAAAAAATTCATATACATATCTTTGGGTTATTCAGAATTTTGTAAGTAACTTTTACCGTCGCGTTTCGCTTTTCTAAATATTCCAAAGCTTTATTGTATGGTTTACAAATGACTACAATTACCACGATATCATTTACTACCGACTGCTTATATCCATCATTTCGACTATGTCTCATTTCCTGAAATTTAACAATCGTAATAACGTAATAGTAACAGGAATTATCAGTTCACAAGAACTAGTTGCAGATAGTTTTAATTCCTCTCTCTCCCTTTCTCTCGACTACTAATGCATGGTAGTGATACAAACCCACATTTTCGTAATAGTCACCATATTTAAGTACTGTACTACCGTAGCACATGCTCTGTTGTATATTTCTCCTCATCTTTAGATCTTGTTCACGCTGCCTAAAATTGAATGTTTTATTTTTGTGAGATATAATTCCCTATGTCAAAGTGAAGGAGCTATTAATCTCCTTCACTTTCTTATCCAATAGTACTTTATTTTATTAAAAAAAAATCCGAATTTCTGTCTTAAGATAGAGAAACGGATAACAAGAAAGTAAGAGAGCAAAATTTTACCGTGGATCATCATAAGGACCCGCTGGTTTCTTCTTGATGGGATTAAACATATCTAACACTTTTTTTTTCAATCTGTAAATCAAACAGAATTTTAAGTATTTTATTTCTATACTAAAGGAATTCAATTGTGCTGGGTAGAAATAGTCAACAAAAGAGATAAAGAAGTTGAAATTTCCAATAACTTCACTCTCTAGTAAATAGTAAAACATAAAATAAAATACAGCAACTGAAGTAGACTTCGAATGGAAGACATTCTAATCACGTCAGCATTATAATAGCAACAAGAATCATGCAATGAATTTTTTAATAAGTCAAATGACATTATTGACTAATGCTGTAACATGCTACTGTAACAATTAAATTACATACTTCAAAGTTTCTAGCTCTGTATCAGCCGGTATATCTTCAAGGTCAACTTTCTTCCGAAAGAATATATCTCGTTTATTGAGCAAAGCAAAATTATTGACACTGAAAAAACCTCTTTAGCATAAGAAAAATCTTTTCGCACGAAAGACAGTAGGAATTTAAGCTTAAATCAAAAGAACTTATTAAAGTTACAATTCAAATGAGACAATTTAATAGTATACCAACACAACTATATGATACCATAATTTCACCATAGATTTAAATTTTAGCTTGGGGAGAAAAAAAAATTTTTAAACTTAAAAAAAAGAACAATAAAAATTTTAAAGTGAGAAAGATATTCAAGCAGTAATGGAACTTACTCTAAACTAAAAGTCATATCTCTTGCATCATCACCCTGCATGCCAAATACCTTTTGCAGTTTTGCAGTTGTTGCTTCGTTATCATTTATAGCTTCGCTTTCAAGCAACACACGTTTATGAACATGTGACGGAGCTTCAGGCATATCAGCCGGATAACTGAACTCCAGTAATGGTTCCAATGCAACCACACTTCGCAGACAATCTCGTTGTTTCCGTGCCACCTAATCTTAGTAAAGTTACAATTCAAATGAGACACTTTAATAGCATATCAACACGATACTATGAGATATCTTAATTTCACCACAGATTTAAATCTAGGCTTGGGAAGAAAGAATGTCAACATAACAATTTTAAAGTGAGAAAAATTCAAGAAACTCAGGAAAGAAAATATGGTAGAAAAATAAGTGAAGAATATGATATGGAGAACATCATGAGCATTGTCCAAAAATTTAGAATTTCTTGAAAACATTCAATCCAACGAATTTAATTATTACTCAAGAAAAAGTAAACAAACACCTGTCCAAATGTGTTGAAATTGACAAGAGGTGAAATGAATTCATTCTCCTCTGGTTTGATAATTTTATCCATTGCCATCTTTCCTCTTTTTGCTTGCTTTAGTAATGTACACTGCAAGAAACAATAATATGTGATCTTCAATCGCTAACAACAAAACATGCGATGAAATTTCATTTTGTGATGATTTGAATTTAAAACTTTAGAGAATTTTAAATAATTTCAAATCATGACTTATTTGTATTAATCTAATTCTTACTCCAACATGGATTACAACTTTGACTCTCCATATTTACAATATTTGTTTGTGAACAAAATACTTTACTAACAAATGTCACCAAAGTAACTATTCTACAGTTAATGAAACAACTAATAATATAGAAATTTAAAGGACGAAATAATTTCATACAACGTTTCATGGAAACTTCCTCTGCAATAATTTCAACATCCGGGAGTTTTAAATTGGGACTATACGATATTGGTTAAGGACAATGTTTCAAAGACCGTTTACGGTAAGGAGTGATACGAGCATCCGGAATTCAGACAAGTTGGTTATCCTACGAATTAAAGGCATGATTACTGTAGTATTACCTGGTCACTTAGTCATTTGATTGGTGAAGTATTACATTCCGAATGTAAACTCCAATTGAAGAGGAAATGAATAAAGCATAAAACAAGCCAGTAATACTCTAATATAATCACATATTCATTGATTTGCTAATTTAAAGGAAATTTTTTTAAATTTAATTTTGTTAGATTTCCTATACTACAGAAAGAAACTGTTGGCTCGTCTACCTCCCATTAATGGTATCAGCAGTAAAACGATGGTATCTTTGATGCATGTGAAATGCTATAAAGGCGAAGATGCGGATGTTTACACTTTCGAAAAGGAACCCTTATTGTTTACTGTAATGGGAGAAGAAGTACTTTATCCTACAGGTTCGTGAAGTTATCCAAAAAGATTAGTGTGAGGTGATGTAATGTTGTCGTATGACGCAGGTTTAGGATGTCTGCTACAAACAGGTCTTTGGAATGAATTCTGAGAGTAATAAAGAAAGAATAGCTGATCCTTTACTTGCTTTTTTTTCAGTTTACTTGACATGGAAAATACCCGATGCTTTTCCTGTACTTGTTATAAATGAGTTTGTATATCAAAAGTTGTTGCAAGGTGCTGATTTATTCCTTCAAGGTGAGTAGTTTCCAAAAAGTTTTAATGTTTTTCTGGGAGCTGTTAATCTTATTTTATTTTAGGTGTAATTCGTCCGTTACGGCAAACTTTGGAGTTTGGTAGCCACGCAGCAGTAGCGATTTCTGTGTTAACATCATCAAAACAGCTTCGAGGTTGATCGTTTTTTCCTGGTTCTATTCGCTTTGATATGACTCATCATATTCCTTCATAGTAAATGCCTTGCTTGTTACTTTTTCCCTTTTGGTATATAAATTAATTGTTTAGATTCGATTTACATTAATATCTGTATAAGCAACTTTTGGATTAATTGACAAATTGGAAATAAGTGAAATTTGTATATTTGATTTATAAAATCAACTGTAAAATTAATTTTATGGGCATTTATTGTTTTTTATAGTTTTACAAGTCAGCAACAATATATGTATTTAAGGTCCTGTAGCTGTAGGGTATTCATTAATGTCATCGATGCAAATGATCGCAAATGGCATGCAAGGGCCGGGTGTTCGTTTATTGCACTTTTACGGTGACTTGCTTTGGTTAGCTTTTGTCATTTATGCAGTATGTGTACTTGTATATGTATGTACACTATACTATAACTATATATACTGTAAGACACTGGAATTTTTCCTTAATTATATATGACATTTCAGTGTCATTGAATTAGTACGCCTATACAGCTTCAGGTTTCTTACGGTTCAAATGGTGATTACCTCATATTCGAGTTACTCGATTTTTGATCATTACTGTGGTTATTTCACAACTGTTCTAATATCTCAAAAAAGCTTTATGTATTTAGGGGTGTGGGAACTCATGAAAAACCCTTGGAGATCTCAGCTGAAAGGATGAATTTAGCAGACACATTACCTGGAAGCTATGAAACTGAATTTCCAAGTTTGGGTTCCCTAGTTTTGGATGAAAAACCCAGCGAAGTGCATGTTGAAGGCTCTTCATTTGATACTGCTTTGGATGATAAGTCAAAAAATAATGGCTTAATTAATGCCTCGGAAGAACAAGCTGAAGAAGAACTTAAGAATTTCGATACGGCGGAAACTTTGGTTAGTTTTTCCGGGACTATTTATTTGTCTATTTAATGAGTTTTGAAGGTAATTAACTAATATTAGATAAGACTACTAATACTTCCAGAAACTTGTCTGTATGGACTTAGTACGATATGTTCTAGTTTTGTCCGTGGAATCATTTTATAAGATTTTCTATGTATGAAAATGCATAAAAATTCTGGGATTTTAAGAAAATGAGTTTTTTCCAGCTGGAACGTTGTTTCTTGGCTGCACTGAAGTATCGTGTAACCAAAAAAGGGCAGCTGCCATTGGATGTTGGTGAATTTTATTCACACTTCCTCCTTCCATGTTTACCATCGGGTCGGCGGATTGATATGAAAAAAACGGTTTATAAGAAATTCAGTGTTTTTCTGGAGCATATTAACAAAAGCGGAAGTGAACCCATTGTAAAGCTTATAATAAATAAAAATAAAGGATCTGGAATGATTACAGAGGTTTGAATTGGAAACCACGTTTCCCTTTTTTTTTCTTTCATTTTGCAATTTTTTGTACTGATTTCATTTCCATTCATGAAGATTGAGCCTTCCTGAAATTATCTTTGTTGTTATTTTTTGTTCTGTGTCTCTATATTCTTTGTTCAGAATATCCTAGCAGTTACTGTCATTGGAAAAATGAGTGGATTTGGTTTGGACGACAAGATAAAGATATTTTTGTACAGTTTAATATTTTCCAATAATTTTTAAATTGACAGCTATTAACGTTTCAGATAAATTGGATGCATCCATTCTTGAAGGATTTTGAGATAACTGATGAAAAAATTGATGATATAAAAACTGAAAAGATGCTAATCAAAGTGGACGACTACCTTGCAGTTACCGAACCAGTTTCGGCAATTTTTCGGAATAAATGTGGGAAAAGTGATTTGATGGAGAAGGTACAAGTAAGACAGATAATCACTTCATACGTTAAAAATATGGTGAGTCATACATTCATATGGTATCTTTTTTTTATCTTCAAAGCACATGTACTAGTGTTTCCAAAACTTTGCCAATTCAGTTTTTTTCTTTTTTTCAGTTTTCTAGTTGTACTGAGAAGATTATATAGGGATTATTTCCTATAATTTAGATTGTTTTATTGCTGAAATTTTATAATATTATCAAGCCAACCACGAGTTTTCAATTCGACTTGGCATTTAGAAGTTTGATTACAGTAAATATCTGACCACACAAGTATCTATTTTTGTTTAATGTTAATTTTGATTCTCTCAATCCACTTTGTTGTTATATATCTTCTGCACGTGATTTAACTATTTAAATATTTTAAGTCATTACTTTGCAATATTTTTAGAATCCAACCATAGAGGGAAAACTAGTCATACCTAATGACAGTGTATTGGTGTCACTGTTGGGATCTCGGGAGTCAGTGGACTGGAATACACTGTTCCAGAAAATTATATCAAAAATGACAAAAACATATGTAATTACGTGGGCTGATGGACGGCAACTGGTACGGAAGACAACGCTACCAAAAATTACATTTAAGGTTAAAGTTCTTCAATATTAAATAGACTATTATTGATAAGTTTACACTCGATCTTCCTTTTTCTGCTAAGCAAATTATTTTTCTCTATAGATGCAACAGTTTGATACATGCTTAGTTCGTAACGCACTAAAGACTTCTACCTAATTTCATAATATAATGTAACTGCTTTCTATGTTTTGATTGTTTTATATATATATATATATATATATATATATATATATGTTACGAATTAATATAATTAATTGTCATATTATGTAAAAATTATTATATTCAATCACAATTGCACATAATAATCGATACTAGATGTAGAAATTGTGATGACACTGGCATTTTGAAAATTGTTAATTATAGATTTATTTTTTTTTGTAGCCACTTCTACTCGTTACTGACCCAAAATATGCATGCATTGAAATATGTGAAATGAAAATGTGAAACGAAGTGAAAGAATTTCTCTGATGCTCTGACATTAACACTTAAAATTCATGCATTTTCTTTAAGTCATGCATTTGAAAAGTTTAATTTCAGAGGAATTCTACAGTTGTAAGTTCTAGATTGAAAATCGCGCTGGTAATAAGAAAGTAACGTTAGTGAATAATCTAAGCATTTATGGAATCGACCCTAAAAAACTTTGTCGTGAAATACAAACTGGTGTGGCAACAAGTGCTGTCGTTGTGAATAATGCTGCAGAATGCGAGGGCTTTCAAATATTAGTGCAGGGAAACCAGGTAAACCTTTATTCCTCACTTAGTGTCTAGGAATTTCAGTATCATGAACTTTGTTAAGAGCTAGAACTATCCAAAGTTTTTATTTTAATAAACTGACTGTCGAATCATTTTCTTTTAATGTGAACTAGTTTTTGCAGATTTCTTTGATTTCAATTATATTTTGAATCATTTTTTCCATTACTTTTTCCATTATTTTCAGATTCTCTTTATCAGCAACCTTCTTACCAAATATGGTATTGAGAAGAAGTATATGACAGGTCTCGAACTCATTCCAAAGAAGTGATATGTTCTTTATACTTTATGTGGGAATCTTTAAACATGCCCAAAAATTTATTTGCTGATTACTGATGTTCATATTTCTAAATCCAATTAAAATTTCGCTGTAGCTTGTTCTTTCCACTAATTCTTTCGATGGCTTCAACTCAGTGAAATCGACGTCCTCCTTTCGTTTGAGGAGAAACACCGTGGGACGTTATAGTTGTTGAGAGTTCATTTTTTATTAGCATTAATTTTTAGAAAAAGAAGTTTCATTCAACTGGCAGAAATGTTTTGGTGTCTTGACCAGTAGCTATACTCATGTTGTCGATTTTCCGGTAAACTTTTGTGTTAATGAATGCTAAATTACGCGTTGTCTTTCGGACGGTTGACTCGGCAATGATCGTTTCACCAGGCTTTGCTACACTCTGATACCTGACTGAGTTAAATTAGCTCTTAAATAGTGTTTCTTGGTTTGTGTTTCAAAGTACAATAAATGTTTGGATGAAGTTTTTCTGTAGCTGGGTAGTCAAAAATAATTTAGTTTTTGCTAAGGAATAAGACCTCTCTGTTAAGACTTTTGGGAAAACCGAATTGATCGGAACCATTCTTATTAGGAATCTAAAAACTTACGAAATGGATAAATCCACAGAACGGCCACCTGTCGGTCTACCGGAAGCGAGAACAGCCGCAGTGGAAACAATGTTGACCAATGTTGCAGTAAAGCCACCGTGTATTGTGCCGGATGGATTAAGATGTTCATCAGCTACCTTCAACTCAATTTCGACATGTCCGTCTTCAGTAGCTTTGTTTATCACACACTGCAAGTAAAAGAGTAAATACAGATGAGCTGTCCAGTGATATCTTACTTGTTATTGGAAAAAGTGAGGGACTATGCAAAGTTACCGTTATGCGATACAGAGAGGTTGTTTTTTTAACTTTCTAAGAGTCAGTCATCTTAGTCGAATGATTTATCTTCCGGTTTATTGTCACAGTCATTATGCCGAAATCTTTACCTAACTAATATACCAATCAATGCTAATTGTATTACTGTAAATGACACCGTTTCACTTTCAAAGCTCATTTTTATTTTTACAAAGATGAAAAAATGTATATATAGTACTGACAATCAAGCTGAAATTTAAGTACTGCTTTGAAATTAAGTATTTTACCTTATCAAAGCGACATTTATTCAGCCGGAAAATTATATGGTTGTATAAATTTCACCCTAATAATATTTGTTTTTTGATTGTTATAAATAAGAGTTTGGATGGTGTTATATAGACTGTATATCACTCTACTTTTTTGGATGATATTTTTTATTATGTGGAGAAGTTGAGAACTTACATTCCGTACGCAATACGCGAAATCCTTCGTTCCTTCGAAATCACGAAACATCTTTTTTAGATAGATTAAACTTTTGTTAGCCATATTTTCTGCAAAGAAAGGGAATATATGAACTACAAATTACTATCATTAGATAATGTCGAAACCTATAATCGGCTGTCCTTTTTCCTAACTGGTAAGTAAAACACGCTCGCTGTTTGTGACGGGCTTATTTCACTGTGGACAAATATATGCCGTGATTTTGTTGAGACGTAGTGAAAGCAGTTTGGAGAGATGGTTGTTGTGTAAGATTAGGTTGTGGGGAGATTTCAGGATTATGATGGATCCAGCATTGTTGAAACAGCAAGCAGCATTCAAAGCTCGAGCTTCACAAGCTATTGAAATGGCGCGGAAAAGTACGGCGTCCACGTCGCATTCCACGTATGAGTATGTTTTTTTTTTTTTCTTGTTATTTCTTTTTGTTCAGAACTGATATGTGTAATTTTAATATTTAGAAATTTTAGTGCAGAAGCAAGTCGGAAGAAAAAACGCAAAGTGTACAACGATTTGCAATTATCGACAAAATGTAAGCTTTTTATATCTCACTTAGTAATTTGTACATGTTACATCTTACCAAACAGTAATCGATCTCCTGTTAAATATTTTATCCGTTGTTCTATGTACAGTAAGATCGCATTATTTTTATTTGACTTTAACAAATATCAGTACTACATGAAGGATTGTGCATAGACTGTAAGATTTTTCATTAGCTCATAGTTTGCATCGATATCAATATCAAATTATTATTTACCGTTTATGTAGAAGCAGTGCTTCTAGAAACTACGTCAAAAAGAAATGTTTCTCGAGAGCCAACATTTCTATTTGTATGAAATTCCATTCTTCAGCTTCTTCCGACTTCAGTTCTAAGAACGCTCCTTCTCATTCGACATCAAATGCAGTAAATTTTGGAACAATGGCAAAAATTGTTGATTACATGAAGGTAATGTGAATTCAACTCTTCCGTCGTTATTCATTAATGATCTTTCTTATTGAATTCAATTTTTGATGGTTAGATTTTAGCTGTAATCTTTTATCATTGCTACTTATAGAAACGACATTTATCATCGCAACAGTGGCCATTAAGTTTGAAGGAGATACTGGAGGAATTACAAATATATGATCTGGGAAAGAAATCAGAACTATGGCTTCAAGAAGTTCGTTGTAAATTTTTTCCTTTGGTTTTTCTTAATTGAGTCTTTTGGAGAATTCATCACTTTTTGTTCGTAATTTGAAAGATTTGAATTTTAAAGTTTCGCTGAAATTTTTGGGAACAATTACGATTTTTTCCAAATGTTGATGGGAAAATTTTCCAACTTATGATTTCAGTTCTTCTACTGACTTTTTTGATCTAATATTACGGAATAGAAATTTCTGTTTTAGTCATTGCCAACGAATCCTCGATTAACTGTTGATGAAAATGGGAAATATCTTTTCAAACCGCCTTACAAAATCAAAGGGAAGAATTCTTTATTAGCACTGTTAAAGAAATATCACATAGAAGGAAGGGGTGGCATTTTGCTGTCGGATCTCAACGAATGCATACCAGCTGCTGAAAAGCATATTGAGGTTTATTATATAAATTTGGAAGGTTTTCTAACTTTTATGTTTTTTTCTAGAGGTGTATACAAAAGTTTTAATCTGATTTGATATTGGAAGCTTTGGTCAGTTAAGAGTTTTAATAGCAATGATAGATCGAAGAATGCAGCGGTCTCTGTGAGACAGTATTGATTTTACTAAAGTCTTTTTAGGCACTTAGTAATGTTGTAATTGATGTACAGACGATGATCAACAAGCGTAAAGATCACGTTTATTTTTATAATGATCCTGATACCGATTACGAAGTTGATGAAAGTAAGATACATCTTCTGTTCACATATTAAGAAAAAATCTTTCGTTTTCAATTCACGTTATCAGCAAGGAATTTTGGTAGTTGTTCTTATGATAATAATACTTTTTAATAAATTAATGATACTAAGTGACATAATATTGAGTTTCATTATACTGCAGGATTATTTTATGTTATTTATTAGAAAGATTTTTACCTGTGCAGAAATAGTGAAGCATTTAGCAAATGAATTTTCGGAGGAAAGGAAGTTTTTTGCAAGTCTGAATGTGAAGAATATCGTTCATGTGGCTTTCTATTTTCTCTTTTAATGTTGAAAGAGTAGCGTGTACGAATTTCATTTAAATTTGTCAGCCATTTTTGCAGAATTCAAAAGTTTATGGAGGAACGCATCTGTTGATCATTTGGACGAGAAGAAGATCGAAGAATATCTTCAGAAACATGGTATTGATGTGATGAAAGATTTAGGACCAAAGAAAACAACTTTCGCACCGCCAAAACGAAAACTTCCACGACGACGAGCTAATCAGAAAGTTCATAATGAACATCTGACTGATGTTTTAGAAGACTATTCAACTTAATTGCTGTTCTGATTAAAGTACTTTAGTTTCTTTAAGTGGAAATGTGCTGCTATCGAAGTCATGATTCTTAGTTCAGTTTCGTGTATGACCCACTGATTCATTTCTTTACTTTATTGAAACAGTTCTATCACATCATGTTTACATATAAATAAATCATCCCCTTGCATTGATAATACTCAACATTGGCATGTGGATGTTATTTAACGAGTTTCTCATTGCAGTGTTTCCCTCTTTTTTTGAGTTTTTTTTTTTTTTTTTTTTTAAACAAAGTTTGAAATTCTAAACAGAAAATCAAACTGGTTAATTGATTTCTATGTCATAGAAGAGATATTAGGCGTTTGATATATATATATATATATATATATATATATATATATTTATATATATGGTGCATACAGCAAATTTTCACATTTACATCCTACGGTTAGTTGGATCCAAAACTTCTCGTCTACCGGGATAAAAATTATTTAGCATAAGTTGCTGGGACAAAAATTATTTAGCATAACTATCTAAACATTTTTGGGTCAGTAGGAGAGAAGTTAAATCAAGCGGTTAGTTGGAAGGAGGGAATAAATTTTATATTTTAGTTGCAAGATATCAGCAGTACCTGTTTTTACATTGGATCACTAAAGGAGCAATGTAGTCATCCAATCACGGAATTTGAAATCGCTTAAAACAGGAAATGCCCCAAATCGCTATCTTTTAGTGACCTTTGGTACCCAATAGCGGTAGTGAAATTAAAATGTAAACAATGAAGCAGGGAAGGGGGAGAGGCGAGAACAGCCTGTTTGGATGGTCGCGGGTCATGCTGATATCCGGAACGTTTTTGATCAGTGATGCTGGGAAGTGCAGCGAAAAAATGGATGTTTGCAATTTCGTAGGTTTTGTAATCGAGGGCATGACAGCGTGTGCTGTGCTGGATGACTTTTTGATTTGGTTGACATGATATTTGACCCGGATGCAACGACATGGTGTGCAAGCGACTCAAATTTCAGCGATAAGGTGGGTCGTATGCAATGCATTCTTTTTGCTTATTAGAAACCTGTTTGTAGATTCGAGCAATGTATTTCTCTTTCTTTTTTAGCAATGTTACATGAATCAGAGGACAACAAAAATTGCATCTTGAAATGGAAATAATGGAATATAGTAGTGCATTGCTTTTCTCTGGATTCTTTCCATTAGCTGTCAATGGCATATTTCCGCTTTTCTAAGCCTTCTTTGAATTGCAATGCAATAAGATAAGCATATCATGGTAGTGTGGAGAAACGAATGTTTTTTTGCATATATTTAGTAAGAATGAAGCATTTGATACAGAAGGCGCTAACCATTCTGTATGGCAAATACTTATAAATTTTGAGAATTTTAAAAAGGATAAATTCTGTGCTTATTTGTTCTTGTGGACTATTTTTAATTATCTTTTGGCATTCGCATTTTTGAAAATGATTTGTCAGTTGAAAGAATCGATTATTATATCGCATTTGGCAATAAATATGTTTAGCAAAGAAATTTTTTTGTTAAAAAAAAGCGAAATTTTTATTTCAAAGAAAATTAATTTCTTCAGTACTTTTTCTTGTTTAAATGGGTGGCCTATTTGGACTTGACCTCACCTTCTCTTGACCCCTTTACTACTCTTGACATTATATTTTGTATTTTAAGTGCAATAAATCTCGCAATTCAATAAAATCTGCAGAAAAGAAAAAATGTTTATTTCATGTGAACCGAAAATGACCGTTCATTGATTTTTTTTTTTTAACTTGAAAGATACAGGAAATTTCCACATTTACTAACTTCTTATGAATAACAATGGCAACAACAACAATGTGCAAACTTATACTTTTTTCTTCAGCGGGAATTCTTGCAAAAGAATGAATATACTTGTCTTATCTCTTTTGAAGGTCAAAGTATTCTACTCCTTTTCAAACAGTACATAAACAATCCAATATGTTCTTACATAGGCAGTAAAAGTATGTAAACAAGTAAAAGTATTTGTCATAATTCTATATTCCTTTTATCCAAAAACTCTCTCTCTCTCAATATTATTGCATATTATCCAACAGGTGTCATATGAACAGCAGGTAATTAGTAAACAAATGAAAGTTTTATATCAATAAAAAAAGTGGTTGCTTAACTTCCGGTGACTTTCGATAAATAAAATCCTAAGCGATTACTTTTCTTTGGCTCATCTTTTATCTTTAACTACACCATCAACACATACTGTGCTCCTTCCAGAGATTGATTACCTAACTTCTACGATATTTTTTTGCAGCACTCAGTGTCTTAATGCCGCAATACTGTATGATCGGTCGGTGTCGATCGGTTATGATCGGTTAAAGCTTATTGCTATTGCTTCTTTCCATCAACCATAACAGGGAGAAGTTATTCTCATCACATTGTTATTTAAAAAATTGATGACTTCTAGTAATTTTGATATTAGTCTTTCTATAAACTCTCTGTCCGACAAATTATTATGAAACTGAAGAAAAAAAATCCATAAGCCAACTCTATTTTTATCGGAATTTAATTTAGCCTTGAAAATAAAAAAGAGTAAGCAAAAAAAAGACGGTAAGCAGTCTAATTTGATGGTACTTAAAACAGATGAATTTTAGTTATGTCACATTAACGCAATGGATATAACTATGGAAATTTTTCATTTGGCTTTAGCGAGCGGGAGTGTCGAAAATATTACACTACGAATATAAATCAGGATATGAAATATCAAAAAGGAATTGGTTGATTGGTTAAAATTTTGAACTGGCTATGTTTTTTTTTTTTTTCTTTTTTTATTTAGCAGATAGTGAGAATTATTTTTCAGGTCATTTAATTAAGAGGTTAACAATACATTTCTACTGACACAACATTGTTTTTTTTTTCTTTTGCTTTCGTTTTTTTTTGTTTTTTTTTTCTTGTTTTTTTTTTGTTTTTCGTTTGTGACAAATTAAGGAGAAATAGCCCATTTACATTTGAAAAGGATTTCTTTTCCTTGTAAAACTGGTTTTTTTTCGCTCCAAAAATCCAGAAAATTTTAGGATATTTTGAATTGCTGTTGTTTGACCTACTGGTGCTGGGTAGTTAGTAGTAGTTGTAGTTGTAGTAATAGTAGCAGTACTTGTAGTAGCAGTAGTAATAGTAGTAGTAACAGTACTGATAGCGGTAGTAGTGCACATCTATGTCCGTGTCTGTGTGCAAAACATGCTTTTACTTCCCGGAGGGCATAAAATCCTGTTTTTCGGAATACGACGAATTGGTGCGTTCAGGCGCAACTAAGAAGCCGTGATTACAACCTAATTATCCACGAAAATCAAGGAAACAACAGCAACAATGACGATTGACGATGAATTTATGCGTGAACTCCACTTTTGCGGATTTTGAACCTTCCGCCTTACCACCAATTCATTATCCGCCCATTTCTCTCGTTAACAACAAAACGCAACAGCAATAGCAGCAATATGGTAGAAATATGGGAAAAGGAATCATTACCCACAGTTGGGATATAAAAATGTGCTGATAACGATCCAGTTACTGATAAACGACACCGCATCCACTACCTTCCTCTTATCTGGCAATGTTCTACTATACTTGTCACCAACAGTGGTACCATTGTACGGTATACATTATAGGTGCTTTACTTTTACTGCTTACTCAACGGATACAAGCGGAATTCTTCAACGTCCATAAACCTGACCGAGCGCTTATTGTGTTATCAGCACCATCCATATGGTTTGTTATCATGACTTTATCCAGGCTTGAACAAATATTCTTGGGCCTAACCTAAGTTGGTATGTGAAGCTAAGAACTCGTCCTAATTAAATTAAGTTAATAAACAGAATTAAATTAAGATGTTTTATTGTTGCTTATCATCCTTTATGAGTTTTTTTTTTTCATTAATTACATATACAATATAAATTTCTAAATAATATTCTCAAAAATTTAAAGTTTCTACAAGTTAATTATTTGTTGTTTTATCAAATACATTAGCAAGTTAGTCTTAAAAATAGACTTAGTTTTATGAGTCTTACTGCCATCTAATACTTCTATTTCTTCTAACCTACGACCCTTGCTGCTATCTTTCAAACAACATGGCAGGTCATGTCAATCTTGTTGTTGATATGAAATGTTTGGACTAAATCTGGACCGCTGACTAGCGAGTCAGTTCTTTTAACTCTTTCTAACTTCAATAATATTTAATGATTATGTCAAGATATGGTCATTCCATTCCAGTAGTTCCATTTCTGGACAGTTGACCGTGACAGATTGATGGATGTGAGATTGATCATTTATCTGTACATTGCTGGAACCAGTTTTGTGTGATATCTAATTGTATCGTTAATTCTCTTTTCCCGAACAACTGAAAAGGGGCCAGAGATCGTGTCAAAAAAAAAACTTTAAAAAATTGCTGATTAGTAGTAAGGATTTTGATGAGTCTAAAAGTCTGAAAGTGTTATAATAAAATTTTTTTGCGGGAAGGTTTTTTTCGTGCTAATTTAAACTTTTGTGTTTTATTTAAATGCTCAAATTGTTCAACTGCAAATTATTGCTAAGAAATTTGTTGCTTTTAACTTGCAGTTTTTATAATTACATAGAATTAAATATCTTGCTTTTTAGGGATGACAATTATCACGATTTATTTGAGACAATTATTGCATTCCAGATCGAATTTGCAAAAACAATACACGGTAATGAATTTGGATGAAATTCTTATTTAAAAAATGATAGTTACAACAATTTTGTTATGTTACTTGGGAAGATGATATGTTTTTTTCCACTGATAGGATCTAGAACTTAGGACGAAGGTGAGTGATACCTTTGACAGCAAAAAGATACTTTTAAATCATTTAGAATTTTTGGCATAAAGTTCGGGATACTAAAACTTGTTTTTTCCAGTTTCGAACACTTATATGGAAAAAAATTCAATTTTAAGTTATTCAGAAATTGTAAAATTTTAAGTGTTTGTATGTTTGTGTGTATGTGTGTTTTTTTTTAGTTCTAGTTAAATTTCAATTAAGTTTTGACCTTTTTTTGCAGAACATGATAATGTGGTAATACTTGCTGATAAGCATACATTACCATATTTGGATGGAAGAAGTCCGTCCGTGAAATCACGTTTACCATTAGATGCTTTGATTCAGGCATCCGTCTATGATATTAACATCAGAGATTTTGCACCATTTGGTGTACGACAACTTGTGAAATTTTCTTATAGGTGAATTTTTTTTCTTTTTGTTTTTGATACGATTTTTTTCCCTTTCTCTTCTTTCTTTCTCGAAGCATTTTCGGAAAATTCAATTTCATTAAAAAGATTAAATTCACCTATAAGACATGCTTAATGTAAAAAATATGCTTAACAACTTCAAGTGGGGCTTGAAAACATTACTAGTAGAGGTCAATGACTTTAAAAGCCTAACTCTACAGTATGTTAATCAGAACATGGTTTTGTTTTTTTTTTTTTCTTTGGCCTAAAATACAAAATGTTATGATAATATATTTACCAATGAAGCGGACTTGATGGATTTAATTCGAAGACTGGTTCTAAAATGATTGCTTTCCTATTTGAATCGGAGAAATTCACAATTATTGAAATAAAAAATGCGTCAAAGAAGCGTAAAGATTAAAGAGCATTTATAATCTATACTTTGAAATAAGTGATAGGAATTATTTGTAAAACGAAATCAATTCGAGGCCTCCTAATTTTGCAACGATTGCCGCAAGACAAATCGATGAAAGTATTAAGCGATTCATTGAGGATTATAAAATACGCGTTGATAAGAAAGAATTAGAACTGATACTTTCCGCACAGCACGTTGTCGATAACGGTATCAACAGAGCTATCATTGATAAGGTCTGTAATGAATTTTGGAACTACTGCTTTGTAATGAAAAGATTTGCAATATCTGTGCCAGTAATTTTATTGTTACGTAAACTTTCATTTATCCATGAGGTTTAATCCAGAATTTATAATTCAGTTAGAAAATTGCAGGGGTTTTCGAAGTTGAAAATGACCAGTGAATAAATTTATTTTTCTTTGGGATTTTAAACAACTCCTGAAAATACTTAAAATATTTTGATCGCTTCCTGCTGTAATCAAACATTGTAAATGTCACTTGAAATGGTTCAGAATTACTAACACATATGCATTTGTCGGAAATATTTTCTCGTTTATAGAGAGTACTGGATGAAAATCAAGGAAAAGTACCAGAATGGGCTATTATGATTAAGCTCTTCAACGCTTTCAGGAAGGTATTTGTCTTTTAATTAAATTATCTTACGAGAATTTTGATTTGATATTGTTAAGTTTGAAATTCCTGTTCGGCATCACGTGCATTTCACGGCATTCATCAGTTTCAGGATATATACACATATATAATTTCAGCCATTTATTTCTTCAACTATTGAAATGCAAGTATCAAAAGTCATTTTAAAGATATTTCTCTCTCATAATTTTTACGAAATTTATTGAATAGACGGAGTGTAAAATTGGATTTCTTTTCTTTCATTTCTTTTTCTAAATTTCTTTGTAATTATTGATACCTGTTATGATATTTGTAACACTTTCTTCATTCCAATATTCCTTCCTATTCATTACCTTGACTTGATTTGATAAAAGCAAATCTATTATCAGTATAGGTGACCATTGTGGATAATCCAATGAATACGACACAGTTACGACTGGATGACGTTATGTCTTTCATTGATGATCAGGTCAAAACTTTTTTTAGACAGTACAACTCTTTCATTTCAGTAATTTTAAAGTTCGAAGTAAAATTTGGTCTTGAAATCGAGGTTAATGAAAAAAATGTCGCAGAAATCAGAATTAATCTCAACGAAATATGAAATTTGTTAGATGTTATCGAGAGTTTTCGTTGTACATCACAGGAATGAAATTTGTTAAGTTGCTGTTCTTAATTGTAATTTATGCATCACTGTAGCTATTAATATTTCTTTATTATTAAGTTTAGAAATAGGCATCATTGGGATTTTTTTTTTTACTTTAGTATTATAATAAACTATTTTAGATATTGGTAATACCAACGTTGGATAAAGATATGAGGGCTTATTTGGACGCTGAATTGTTTAAAAAATTCCGTGATGAAGTGATGTTAATTGATCTGCCAGCATATTTGGATAAGGACAGAAGAGGAAATTGTGGCATGTACACTGCCATATTAGCTACTGATAAGTAATGATTTGTTTCATACGAAGATAATAAATAACTATGTAATGCACCTGGATTAGACATTAAGGTGATATCAGATCAATTAGAAATAATTAATGATCAAATCCTAATTACTGCAATAAAGACTTCGAAGAGAATGAATCAAAGAACTGTCAGTAACATTCACAGTATTTTTATAAAATTTCCAGTTATATTGAATAATTCTTGAAAACTCAAGATTTCCCTTCTTTGATTGATATCTAAATGTAATTTATTCCATAGAATTCTAGCTAATCTTCTGAAACCAACATTTAATATTGATAAGAAGTACTTATAGATTTTTATACGTGCCTGTGTTTGGGAATGATCCAGGGAATTGGAAGAGAGGACATTCAACAATGATGGATAAAATTATCATACATATGATTGAGGTATTTTGAGCTTTCAACTTTCATTTCATTGCAGAGTTTTCAGGATATTTATTGAACATTCCTGAAATGTAAAATATTTCGAACGGTGTCTCCTAATGGTGTCACTTATTAAATAAATCCTAAAATGTGTAGAAAAGATGCAATAATTTCCGTATTTCATAAATGCTAACTTTCATTTTTAACTCTTTTATCTTTGCAATCATGAATTATTCCAGGTGAATACGCGAAAAACCGTGGTACCAGTTAATGTGCCACGAACGATTTGTGAACGTGGAATTTCATTACGATCACTGGCCTGGACATTACGAGGTAATGTTGCCGATCACGTTATTCAAGTTGCACGTGGAACTCCAGCTAAAATATTTGCATGATCTCTCTCATACGTACAAAAATGCTATATACAAATCTGCTCAATTTAATATTTTGTGCTATTTAATTTTGTCGTAATAATTAATAATCATCATTATTGCATGTTGATGAAAACTTTGAAACCAATAATTCATAAACATTTCATTCATAAATTATAGATAACTGAAAACTGACATACTCATTTATTTCATTAACTTTCATCATCTTTATTCCATACATCCTTTTTTCGGCTTTTAAATATAATGAAATATTACTACTAAATGAAAAATTTTATTCTCTAAACATAATTTGGTATGTTTTTAATGAAAGCCATTCATTATTGAAAACTGCTGAAATTTCATAATTAAGAATTGCATTTATCACTTATTTGCTAACTCTCATCAATCTTACATTCATTTTTTCGCCACGCGACTCTCAATCGTTGTGCCATGCATTTTGTGATTATATTTCTGCCGTAATAATTTAAGAATGAACACTGCTCGATATTTTTTTCTTATAATATTGTTGTTAGCATTGCCATTGAAACCTAAATTCAGGTTCTTATCACTTAATTAACTTGTGTGTTAATTTATTAATAAAACTTATGATTCTGTAATTTCAGTGCTTTTTGATACGAGAAATATTAATAAACCTCACTTCTCTCATGCCAATTTCACTTTGTTTTGTAATACACCTTCGGCATCTTTTCTGGATTTTTTCATTCGATTCAGATTTTTCAGTTTCGTTAAATATTTGTCCAAATTATTTCAATTTATTTTTTTTCTCATTAGCTAAATGTGGAATTTATTTTTTTTTAATATTACTGAACATAATTCAAAATATCTGTTTGCCGACATATTGAATTCCACTCTAACAATACCCCTTACCCAAATTCTAATTATATAACACAAATTATGTTTCACATTGCATCCTGTGCCAAACTCGCAGAACCTGAAAATAATTTTAGCAGAATTGGTAACCTTTATTGATATGAACATTAGTCACATCCAAATTCTTTCGTCTGAAATAGATTCATTCTTTTTTAAACACATTAAACAAATTTTTTTATGTAATAAAAGAGACAGTAATTCCACATCATCAACCACAAAACAACAGTAATATTGTCAGATATGCAGTCAAAAGTTTCAGCTATTGCCAATGATTAGTCGTTAAGTCGATTCCTTCAGCTCTTTAAACTTTACTCTTTTCAAAATTTTTAAATTAAATGCTAAATTCCTATCCAACACAATAAATCATTTCATAGAATACTACCAAATAATATAGCAAGAAATGAATTTGATATTATAATGCTACAAGTTTAGAACCTTTTATCCTTTTAGAAAAGCATTTACATTTGTCTGTGGTACAACTAATTGACAAGGAGTAGAGTTGAAACTATCAGAAAGAATTTTGATTTCCTTTAAGGTAATGTAAGCTTCGATGCTTTATTGTCTCTGATGAAGCTATTAAATCCAAAAAGAAATTCAAGAGAAAACCGGAACTAAAAAAATATATATATAAGAAAACAAAACATGACAATCACATGTTAAACAAAGCATGACAATCAAAATACAAGTAACAAATTGATCAGTTATATGCACAATAAGAAGTAATATGAATAAAAAAGGAGAAAAAACACTGCAAATGACATCACAGTTGATGAGAGAATTGAAGTTTCCTGAGGAAAAGGGAGTAGATGTAGGAACGCGATACGGTATGATGAGATTACTGTATACGACAGTAACGCTTTCTTTTTGAGTTTGATTTTGATGGGATTAAGTCAACTCCATCCGATGATTGTCGTTCTTGTTGTTGAAAGCTTCTGTAGAGAAAGTTGTTGGGAATATAATTAGAAGCAATAGATCTGCTCAAACGACTGATTAAGTAATGATACTTAAATGCTTAAGCAGGTTTATATTTTACATTCTGAAATTTCCATCATGTCACATTCGTCAACTACATCAATTAAACTGATAGCTAATTAGTGATAAGAAATTAGTCAAATGACTCTTTCATATGAATGAGCGAACCGTATCAAGCGTACTAAATTATGAAACGATTCATCGACATTCATTCGATGTTTCGCGGAACATTCCACATATGGTACTCGTAATCTCCTCGCCAATTCTTCTGCTTCTTGTCGTGAAATCTTAAAACCTTGCTAAACTATGAAAAAAAAAATTATAAATTAAAAAAGAGTTATGATTTAAGATAATCATAAAAGAGTTATGATTTCAAATGATAATTTGACTGACTCTCAATTTCCATAAGTAATAATTAATGAAAGAATAACAAAGATAATCTGATGTTTCCCCTTTCATATCGCTCTATTACTTCATCACGAATTGATAGTATATCAGTTATCAAGAAGAATGTGAAAAATGAACGGCGTGATAAAGGAGAAAGATAAAGATACGAAATCATCGTAAACTGCCGACCCATATTACCAGCCACAATTTTCAACACTCAAATTTTATCAATCATTGTTCTCTGTAATCTTAAATTTCATGTATCAGATTAAAGTATCACCCTCAGGGGAGTCTTTATCGTCCCCTTTTCCATCCAAATAATTTAATTTTACGACATAGAAAATGGGACAAATTTATAGCTTCACTAATTGTTAACGTCCTTCATTCACACAAGCATCAAGCATTTGATAAACTATCACCGATCACCGATCAGATGAATAAAACATTTAATTGTTAAAATAAACATTAGTTATATTTGAAGTTATTTTGAGTAAAGAGATAAAGGAAGGAATACTTACAAGCCTATCACTGTCGAGATCAGCTTTATTGCCAACAAGTATTATCGGGAATTCATCCCGATCTTTCACCCGAAGTATCAATTTATATAACCGGATAGCTTCTTCAAAGCTATAAAGAAAACATTAGTCAAATTCGAAGTTTCTCATTTTTAAAAAATTCTAATAAAAGTGGAAAACAAAGATAATAATTATGTGAGGAGATAATAATGTAACTATTTCTTCATGTCTTTTTTATGTTTGAAAAGTTACAATTAATTTAAGATTAATTTAATTAATTTAAAACAGTTAATATAAATTTAAAACAACTAGAACCAACTGACCTTAATCAACGTCATAGTTCGGGAGTTAACTTACTTACACTATTTATGTTAAACTATCATTAACGATGACAAATATTTCTTATAGGATATTTGTCTTCCTATTTTTAATAGTGAATCGTAAAACTAAAGTTTTGTAATTAACAAGTGCAAAATATCTTAAAAAAGGAAAAAATAAATAAATAAAAGTTTATAAATGAAAGGATTGAGAAGGTAATAATGAAAATCAAAAGAAAAATGAGTTTTGACGGATTTAAAATTTATAATTTTGAAAGATTTTCACACATTTCTTCAAGCGACTTATGTAAGAATTCATCTTCTTTTGTTATTACTTTCATTCTGCTTTCTCAATATCATTAAATCACTCTAATAAAAAATACTTCAGAGGGCTTTTAATTGCTCCGTAATTAATGACTGTGAAAGAGAACACTTACGAGAAACGGAAGAGGAATGACTTAGTGAGCTAAAGAAAATTTCAAAAAAAATATTTTTTTGTTGCCCTTAATGATTCCATCACTATTGTTATCGCTATCAGCACACTAATAGCATTATTATATTATAATTACGATGATGCATCAGATATTTTAAGTACATGTTTTGGAAGTTTATTACAGAAAATATTGAGAAACATAAAGATATAAGAGAAATTTAATTAAATAATATTTAAAATTCCTTTATTCTCTCTGATCACATATTATAGCTTATTTTGGAAACCGTTTAATGTTTCATTGATATTCATATGATAAAAAGGTTTTAAATTTTGATTTAAACAGAAAAAACATTTCTTAGCATGTTTTCTTTTTAACAAATGGCTTCTTTTATTATACGAATCATATCAAATGCAAACATTTTAACAAATTTCCCGAGAAATGTATCAGCTATGACTCGTCGTCGTTCTACTTTTTACCTTGTCTTTTCAAAATTCTAATAGAAAAATTTTTATTCTGTTTGTACAATTTATCAATATGTTTAGCTGTTCGTTTACTTTGTTGATCATACCATTCGTCTATTTCTAACATTTAAAAAATTGTCGTAATAAAAAGTAGCCGACTGGATTTGCTCTACTACCAGAAATTGAAATTTAATGAATCAATTAGACAAGCAAAACAAATTTGAACAGTCTGATAAAATGCTATCTATATTTAGTTCCATTGTATAACTATTTGTTAGCAATTATTTTGATTACAGAAATGCAAATCATTATGATGCAACTGATAGAGATAAGGACAAATAAACATTTGAAAGTATAAATAATCACACAAATATCAATCACAGTAACATTATCCCTTATCACTTTATCATCATTGTTCTCACTACTGTCACCAATGCTACGTATGTCACCTAAGCTGCCGTAACTATACTCTCAGTAATTATTATAACAACAAATGAAACAATAGTCTCAGCTTTATTAATATCCCATCTTCATTTCTACTATTCATTAAAACAAATTTCAATTTGTTTCTAGACTCAATAAATAAGGCATTCATCAATCTCATAAGAAAAAAATTTTTTTTTTATTTTCCATTTCTATTATTTAGCTCGCTATTTGCTTTAGTTTTTAGCAAAGAATGAAGCTAACTTGTTGAAATTATAGAAATTATCACTATTATCACTACCATGATTATTCCCTTCTTAATATGATAACAGCTAGACAAATATGACTAAATATCATATATACATCTATTTGATGGTCCATAATAATCTATTTATTTTAATCAGATTATCAATGTGAAACTGGAAAACATCAATATTTAATTAAACTTGCACTTAACTAATTATTATTGATTCTTGTTTGCTAAAATAAACTTTCCTAAATTAACTATGCTTACTTTCATTTCTAAATAATTTCCGTAATTCATTCCTAAATTACTAGGGAAAACAGAAATAACAACCTATTTCGATCAGTTACAGAGAAAACCAGTAGGAACCCATTGCCTGAACGTAAATATTGTTCTCGCATTGTGCTGAATTCCTCTTGGCCAGCCGTATCCAGCACTGCAATGTTAATCGATAGCTGTAGAAATTTGAATTTAAATTAATATTCACAAGCTAACAATGCAATTCATTTGAAAATTTACCCTTCCAATATATTGATTTTGTGCTTCAATTTGGTAATAAATTTTTAGTCATAAGGGAGTTAATCTTTTCTAGTTGAAGACTTGTGCCTGATTGATTCCAGAAAGAAATGATTGAAATTGCCATCTTCCCTTGATAACATATTATATTGATTTCTTTTCATTTTTTTTTTTTTTTTGTATCTAAGTGTGTTACCGACCAACAAACTAAATATTTTCCATTGCTCAGGAAAATATATAACAAAATTTTAAGATATAAAAAGAAAGGTATTTCAAATTACATCAATTTTTATTACTTATTGATTCCTTGAGTAGATGATGAATAGACGAAATAATCCAGTTGTTGCATGATTTTGTACGAAAAGGAACAATCAAATGAATACAATAAATTAATTATTAAAAATTTAAAAAAGAAATTAAATACAAAATCTTCAATTAATTTCCTTTAATATCAAACAAATAATTGATTCAGAATTATTTCAAGGATTGAGCGCTATTGACAGAAGCACTGGGAATTTAATATTATTTGATTATTTTCAAATTTTTCCACTCAAAGGATTCACATTCTCAAATTTCTAAATTAATTGCCTTTTGAGCTAAATATGACTATATCGATTATCTTAGGAATTTGAATATGAAATTTTTTATTAAGCAGTATATTACAATAATTACGCGATTTTTCTTCTTAAATTTCACTTTAATTGAAATTTTCGCTAGTCGAAAACTTGTTTTCATAAGATTTTGAAATTTTTAGGACAACAGAGATCAATAGGAGTTTCTTTTTAAAAAAAAAAAAAAAAAAAATGCAATTCTGGAGTTTAGAACAGTGAATGTAAAAAAAGAAAAACAGGAAAAACATTTGCGGAAAGAAAAAGAGGAAAAGGGGAAGGGAAAGAGAATGAAGAAATCTATTTCAATAACTCGTTTCATACCCGATTAAAATATTTCTAAAATTTGAAAAAAACTAAAAAATGACCTTCTAATTTGCAGACATCATCATCGACAAAGCATTGTTTGGTATAAGAATCCTCAATTGTTGGATCGTAATCCATTACAAAATGTCTCTGAAATTCATCCACACGTAAGCATTAATTAACAAAAATAGTTAACGATAATATCATGAAGATTTTAAATAAAGCTTTCTAAAGCTATCGAAAGCTTTTTTTCCGTTTATCAATATAAATGATAATAATGATAAAAAAGAAAAAGTTATTCAACTAAGTAACAGAATTTTTTCTCCTATTTTCCTTTTTAATCGCCAAATTTTAACTTCCGTTTTGATATTTTTGCATTAGAAGAAAGCAATGACAAGTGTACCAAATGCTCTTCCTATCACTCTAACTTATCACTTATCAGAACTTATCAAAATTCATTACTAGTTAGTAGTAAGGCACCAGTGATGAATTCATAAAACTACATTAATGTAAAATATAAGTTGGAGTATGAAATGCACATTTAAATTTTGTAATATGTTAAAAATTCTTTGTTAACAAAAAATAGTATATTAAAAAAAAATTAAATTCTTCATTTTATTCATTTTGCACAAAAAGAATAAACTCTCAAATGACTAATTTTCGTAAGAATAAATGAAAGAAGAAAAGCACACTGATGATAAATTGATAAGCCAATAGAAAGGATAGATTACGTAATGAAATTATACTAAAACGTTGTCTTTATTAGGCAAGAACAGAACTGATGGAAAGTTAAACTTTTTAAATTTTTGAAAAAACAATGAACTGAAAATATATGCTGAATCGTATAGTAAATGAAATTTAGAAGAGATTTTGACAAATCATTAGATCACTCCCTGAAAGAAATCTTCTGTACCTTTCATGATAATTTCTAATTTATATTCATAGCAGCAACAATTACACACCTGTACAAACTGGATGGTTAAAGCGGATTTGCCAACACCGCCACCGCCGACAACGACTAGTCGAAGAACCGGAGGTGACTGCTGCTTCCAACGTCCACCGCCTCCGGAGGACATCGAACATTAAAGATCGCTTTTATTAGGGTGCGAAGTTTTAAACTCCTTCAAACTGGCGCAAATATTACACTTAAAAGCAGTATCATATTTATTAATAATGCATGACCAGTAGAAGTTTTCAACAATAAGATTTTAAATTTAAACTTGTTGACTAATAAGGTAGGGGAAAGATCAATGAAGTGATATGAAAATGACATTGAACCAAAATGACGCAGCTCTTTCCTTTCTCAAATATATTGAAAACTTGCATAGAAATTTTGACACAAAATTAAAAATATTTTGCAACAAAAATTTTATTCAACAAATTTCAAAGAATTAAATTCTCTTTCAAAAATAGCATTATTGAGCAATAATCGATGTGATTTTCTTCAAATAAGGAAGACAGATTGAACGGATCTAACTTATCAAATTACTCAAATAGATCACTTCGATTCAAAAATAACCAATAGATCATATCCTAGATTATGCCATAAGATCAGTGGGAAGTGGTTCACCCGCTTCTCTCCCTACAGTCGAAGTTGGAAGTGAGCTACTTTACTACAGGCACACTACATCAATGGAAGACTTCTGTTACGAGAATGACAATTTTACAGTAGAAAATCTGGGCAGGGCAAGTTCAAACAGCATAAGTAAATAGCTGTGAATGGCAGGGAGACACCTCACCTCGTGGCAGCACCTCCCGGGGTTCACACCGACTATTCTGAAATGTGTATGCTCGATCGAAATGAAAAGGAGAAGTAGAGCTGGGTGGTATATACTACGCCTTTCCAGTCATCCCGTGCTATATATATGTGTGTGTGTGTGTGCACTTATTGTTCTGAGTATATGAGTGCACCGGTCTGTTTGTTGGCATGTTGTGTGTGTCTGTGTACGTGTCCGTGTGTGTGTGTGTGTGTGTGCATACGTGTTCGTATGTGTGTGTACGTGTGTGCGCGCACACCTTATTGTTCTGAATATATGAGTGCACCGGTCTGATTGTTGGCATGTTGTGTGTGTGTGTGTGTGTGTGTGTGTGTGTGTCTGTCTGTCTGTCTGTCTGTCTGTGTGTGTGTGTGTGTGTGTGTGTGTGTGTGTGTGTGTGTGTGTGTGTGTGTGTGTGTGTCTGTGTGTGTGTGTGTGTGTGTGTGTGTGTGTGTGTGTGTGTGTGTGTGTGTGTGTGTGTGTGTGTGTGTGTGTGTGTGTGTGTGTGTGTGTGTGTGTTTGTCTGTCTGTCTGTCTGTCTGTCTCATTTAATGTGTGTTTTTAAAGGAATCACACAAAAATTTAGAGCATAAAGGCCTATTTATTTTTGCAAGTTTTTCTTATCTGTCATTCTATATTTCATATATTGGCTGCCATGCAAGAATGCCTTAAAAAGTGCCTTAAGTCTTCTTTCTTGCACTCTTCAAGTCTTTCCTTATCAATATGCTATTATGATAGAAAGGGAACAAAAGTCTGATATGGCACAATTTGAAAATGCTAAACAGTCGAAATAAACAGTTTATAATCTCGGCTCTCATTAGTATTAATTTGACATGTAGAAAATAATAATTATTCATTGTAAGAATGTTGCAGTGATTAGAAGTTATATATTATTAAGTAAATAAGGACAACGATAATAAATACATACATATATATATATATATATATCTTCACCGAATTTAGATATTTTATATGGACAAAATAAATTTACTGTGCTAATTAATACCATATTGCTTGCTTACTTAATTACCAAATCAATATTCACATATAGAATTGTTTACTTAACTAGTAGTGTTACAATGGCTCATTCCAACACCTAATTTAATTCCCATTGTGATATGTTCACACATTAGCAGTTGAAAAATGTGGACCGTCGTCAAATTACACCAACCAATTAACTTACTGTTCAAATTATTGATGGTTGTTTACATTCTCGCATCACACTAATTATTTGTTTGCTTATTTGTCTACAAAAAAATGTGCTACTGATGCATTAATGCTAAATGCTATTTGGGCGTAAATGACAAAGGCAAGAAGCGCCTTCCTCACTTTTCTTTTACCATTTTATAGCAAAGATTATAGCTTACATTTAAAGGAATATTTCGGAGACACAACTGTAATCGTTTACTATTGCCACCAAACATACACTCCCATAAGTGTTACTTCGAAAAGATCACTGATTGTTATAAGCAGTCTTTTTCTTTCTAAATACTTTACTTTTACCTTTTTGATTCCGCATATCACTTCCGGAAATTGTTAAATATTCCCTATGCGACTTCTCGAATGTAAACGATTTCATCCAAAAATTTAATTTTTTTTCTGGCAATTTAATTTAACCTGAAAAATTCAGATTCGAAATTTCATTATCGATCACTAACTTCAACAAGGATTATTCTTTCATCTGCCACAACAGATTATTCGTTTGCAAGAACTAAAAATCACTTAATATGGTGTAAATAATTGATGAAACCCGAGATTACCTTTTCTCACATCGCAATTAAAATTTATATTCTAAAAGCTCTAATGTAAATGTAATTCGATGCAACGACGTTCCGTACATTGACAGATCTATCAAATTTGACCTATGAAATGTTGCAAGAAGGGAAAAATCGATGAACAAAAAAATGCAAACAAATGGAAAGTTAAATTTCTGGAATTGGCAAAAATGCTACATGACAGATCACGTAAATCCTCTGAACCATTTTTCTACGGTGTACTTCAAATAATTTAAAATACCTGTTCTTCACTATCATTGATGCAACCATAAAAATTTACAACGACAACGAATTTTTGCGACGATGAAATAATGGAAGCGATAAAAAGTAGGGAATCCCCCGGGAACTTTTACAAACAAATTTTAAGCTTAAAAAACAATCCCATTGATTAATTCTCATCAGGATATCTAGTTTCTTCATAATGTATGGAAATTCAAGAACATTAATTATATTCAAAATATTATGACTATCGGATAATCTCTAAGGAATGCTTAAATACTTGAAAACCATATGGTATCAGTACATTATTAATTTACAAGCACCCAGAAATTCACTATTTTTAAATATTAAGCATTAATTCATCAACATTATGTTCTTTTATGATTGGCTACAAGAAAAACAATTGTCAATAATAAATAGTTAAGCGATTTGTTGATAATAAAAGCTGTAATCGATAACGATTCAATCACTGTGGATAATAAGTTAAAGATGAATTTATTCATGAAAGATTCTCTCTAAAGATGAACTTATTCATGAGAAGATTCTCTAAATTCCAGCAGTTTTAGCTTCATAAAAGCATTTTGTTTTCATTTCGGTATAGCATCATGAATTCATCGAAAAACTACCATTTTCGAGCAAAAAAAGAAGGTGAAGAAAATCGATGATAATATAATGTCACAGCACACGCAATATGTAAACAATATTTAGTATCAGAGTATAGTGGTAGCAGTCATGGAAATAATAATAGCGCAATGGCAGTAGTAATAATTATCATTATAATTATAATAATAATGGTAATAGTAATAATAATAGCAATAATAATAATAATGAATTAATAGCAACAGTCAAAAATTAGCAATAATAAGAATTAATTGCTTTTGGGGATGCTTACTAGAAGGGTAAAATGCAATTAGAAGGGTAAAATGCTCTTTTGTAATGCAATTTTGGCAGTTGCAAAAGAAAAAATGGCTTGAGGTTTTCTTGTTTTGAAGTTAATTTCTTATTTTTTCTCTCATTGTCCTTTCGGTGATTATTTATTAGTGATGAAATGTATACGACAAGCAAAACTTAATGAAAATTTCAAGATTTATTTATCGAATCTTTACAGAAAGGTTAAAATGCAGCATGTCGTAAAGAATTATTTAGGGAATGAAGTATGAACTGCTCAACATTTTCGATTTTTAATAAATTTATTGCTTTTCTTAAAAATTGTAAATAATCACTGATGCATAATGGGCGTGAGATTTTGTTTAAAAATGCCATAAAATTTTCTAGTTTTTAAAATATTTTCTCTTATTTGTCCTGAAATTAAAGTTCTATTGACTTAATGTTTCCTTGTACTTCAAAAGCAAGAAAGATTCAAACAGTGGCAGGAGTTGCGACAGTTGCTGATATGATGTATCTGGGAACTGTGCTAGTGATAGTATCGATGCTGGTGCCTTGAACGATCGCCGAATTGAATCCGGCAGGTGACGACAGCAGTGATGACGATCGCAGCAAGACATCTCTCGGTGACGGTGTCGAATTCCCGGCTTTTCTTCCTTTTGCTCCTCCTCTCGAACATACTACTTCTCCGGATGCTCCTCCTTCAGTTCCATAATTCTGTGTAACTTCATCTGGAAAAAATACCATCGACATCGTTCTAACCATCAATCACTTTTTTTTATAGCTGCAGCAAAGTTCAACAAATTTTTTAAGTGAAGTCTTAATCATTAATGCCTAATCTTTTTTTCTCTCCAAGCTACTAATTTATTTAATTTTAAATTTATATTACATAATTTAAGTTTCAGTAAAAGACAAGAAAGGAATATCTGTGAAATAAATAATAAGAAATTCTTTTTCTTCATTTTAACTTTTTTTGAGTGTATTTTAAGATAATATATTGTAACATAAAAGTGATCCTAACTAGTATTGGGTGATAATTCAGATTTCATAATAAAGCATTCAAAGGTCAAAATAGTAAGAATATTGATATACAAAATGATAAATATCTCTCAAAAATTGAATAAGACTAACGTTGATGATATTAAATGTGTGTTTGAAAGATGGAAAAATTGTTACGTAACAAACTGATGGTGTATTTTTTGGAAAAAATTGAAACGTACAATTACTTGTGGACTTGACAAAATGAAATTTATACCGATATGTATATAATAGGTTAGTAGTAATAAAGTTAGTTTACGATTCAATAAGAAATAGATAATAAGCATCTAAGGAAGACATTTTGGCTCTCTGCAAAAAGATTTATTACTCACATTTGGACAGGAATTTGATTACTTTCAGGAAATATCATTATAAGGATGAATAAATTCAGCTTGGTAAGTG